GAGTCAAAACTGTCAGGCGACTTCTTATATAAGTTATTGCCCTTAAATGACAACCTTTTTTCATGTTTGCCTTTTATCTTGAAAACTATAATAAATAGAGAGAAACTTGCAAAAAGGATCAGCAAGACACGATTTACGAATAAGTATGCAAGGTCGAAATCATCAGTCGACTCCTAATTAGAGTTATTGCCCTTGGATAACGATTTTTATCAATTTTTGCGTTTTTGCCTTATATCTTGAAAATTATAATAAATTGATAGAAACTTAAATAAGCAAAAATGAACAGCAAGACTAATTCTACATTTAAGATAATATGGAGGAAATTTTAAGACAACTCCTTATTGGAGTTATTGCCCTTTAATGACGATATTTACTAATGTTTTTTGCGTTTTGCCTTATATGATAAAAATTATAATAGATAAATAGAAACTTTGAATAGCAAAAATGATCAGCAAGGCAAGATCCACAAACAAGTTAAATTTTGCCAATAAAGTTAGTAGACTGTCATTCTTCATAGGATTGATTGCCCTTAAATGAGGATTTTTTAACCCTCTTTTGTATTTTGAGCAAAAACTAAAGAAGATAGAGAGAAACCAAACAGACAAAATGATCAGCAAAACAAGATCAACAAAAGAGAAATTTTTGTCATGATTTCTATTCTTGTCTATAATGTTGGAGAGAGTCCATTGTTAATTATATGCATATAGATCTAGGTGAGCAACACAGGATCTTTAGAGCCTCTAGTTTTACATCCATATCAAAAACATTGAATAGAAAAAAATCTTTATAAAAAAGAAGATGTAAATAACAGTGCACCTTCTAAAATTGAGGTATAAAAAGAATTTGCATCAATATTAAGAAATTCTGCATCTTTGAACATTAGCACAAAAACAGCATAGTAAGATTATGGAAATGAAAATAACCATATATAAACCATTAATTTTCAGAGTCTAATATTTTTTTATCTTAAATAAACGATCCTAAATTACTTAGAGAAAAAGCAATAATTTACAAGTAAATTTATGGAGACAAATTTGTGACATCTACTGAAAAACAAAAAGAATTTCGTTCTAAACTCAATGCAATAATGAACTATCAAGTTTTTTTCTGTTCACCACGATACCTGGAATATGATTGCGTGAGGGTTCACGCATATACATTAATTGATGTTGTAGTCTTTCGGAATACCGGAAATGCCTATTGTCTTTTCGGAATACATCTGTTCTTTTCTGTGGCCACCTGCGTAATAGGTAATTAATTGACCTAATGAATATGTATAAGCGTCTTACAGTTGCTATAGAGATAAGTGTTAATCGAGACTGATTGATATTTTACATCAGTAGTTAACTAAATTATAGTCTCATATGTTAAGTTTTTTTTTTTGAAATACAAGCTGTGTAAACATTGGACATAAGATTTTAAGCGAAAAAATTACGGTCAATGGTTAGGCGTTTTTAAGTTTTTAAAACTGAGCCATTTTAGCGAAATAAAAAAAAAGAGCTAAGTCCGTTTATGCAGTAAGAAAGGAGTTTTTAAAAATTGTTCCTATTTATTTAAATAGCAGAAATGGAATTATTATAATCATATTATTTAATTGGTAAATATTGGAACAAAATCGTTATCAAAATACAAATTGAAATCAAAAGAAAATATATTAGAGAAAAACAAACTGAACATTAAAGAATCTTTGAAATGTGTAAATGCAGATATGAGATGCTACAACGAAACATTTCATTTTTTAATTAACATTTTTAGCGGTATGATGATGATTCTGAATGAATAATTAAAGTAAAAATAAAAAAGTTGATTATGCATAAATTATGCAATAGCAGGAGTGAAATACTAATACAGGGTCAGAGATAAAATAACGATATTAGTCTTTTATAGAGACTGAGTGATGATAGATACAGTCAGAGATAAGATGATGAATTTCTGTTTATATTAATTAAGGCTCTATATTTGTATCAAAATATAAATAAGGAAAAAAAAGCAATAATTAGAATAAAAGACAACGCAATGAAATCAGGCAGTTAGTTTTCTCGTATGAATTGTTTTACATTTGTCATTTCGGGGCATTTTGTAGCTTACTATGCGGTATGGGTTTTGTTCATTCAGTGTTAAAGGCCGTACGGTTACAATAGTTGATAACTTCTACGTCACTTGGTCTCTGGTGAAGATTTGTCTCATTGGCAATCATACCACATCTTCCTTTTTTTATATAAAGAGACCATACTTAATCTTATTTTAAAATACTAGTCAACCATGGAAATTATGACGAAATTTATAGGCACCTTTTAGGTGTGTTAAATGCAGAAATTATATGTCATACCGAAACAGTTCATAAATGAATATATGCATTTGAGTCATTAATATAATTCTATAGATATGAAACGATTTACAGACACTGAGTGATAATCTTTTGAGTTGAGGTGATGACTCTCTATTTATTTAAATTTATGGGTCTATGAAGTAAAAAAAAAGAGGTCTGATCAATTCCTCGGTGTTTGAATTGAAAACTATTATACTTAAGTTACTAACTGTATGTGATTGCGAAAATATATTAGCAATTGTCCAGAGAATTCTGATAACAGGAAAATGAATATTATCTATTCCCGATTATTTTATAAAATTAGAGATGCGTATGTTAATTTTTTATAGGTGAACGTGTGAGTTTTCCAAAAGCACGTGTGTCGACTACTCTCTCCAAAAAATATAGTTATAAATGGCATAGGCAATTCTTTTGCTTTTGGTATGTGAACCCCCCCCCCCCCCCAAAAAAAAAAACAACACCAAAATCAATAAAATAAATCAGATTTAAAGTTGAAGTAGCTTGTGCACAACTTCATGTCCACTCTAAAGAAGAATCAGTGCAAGTTTCTGGGAATTCCGTCAATTTGTTTTCAAGGAGTCGAGGCAATCTGTATTCATAAGCGAATCTAGAGGGTCTACTTGACAAAGACTTAGCTCTTTTGGCGACAAAATAGGACGATATCATAACAAAATAGACAATACAAAAACGTTTGTATTCATAACAAAAAATAGCACAACGTAGTAATAAATTATGTTTTCTTAAAATCAATATCCGTATTCGACGGACATGCGATATTTAAATTACGTACTCGACATGAGCTATACTGAATTGGTACTGTTGTTCCTGCTTCTCTCTGTCTGTCACACACTCGTATAAAAACAACAATTTCATTATATTTTGACTAATTTACAAAAGGACAAGTTATGAAATGAAAAAGTGAGATTTGTTTGAACAAACTGATTTAAGTATAAAGTTTAGGTTTCAAACTGTTTCTACTCTAAATACTAGTACCTGATTTGAGTTTGTTGACTGGGGTATAAATAAATTGAGATCAAGCATATTTTGAATATGATAGTCAATGACCAAACCATATAAACCAGTGTATTGGTTTTCCAAAATGGTTTTAGTTCGGGATTAACAAATAAGAATATAGCTTAGGGTTTTGAACTATTTTCAAACTGGCTACAAAAACTAATCATGATTCATTTCATTAAACTTCTTTACAACAAAGACTGTTTTCACAGTTACATTTCGACTTCAGCCAGGAAGCTACCTCCAATTCCAAAAATTGCACCTCGGAAAGGAATTAACATACAGTGGTTGCTTCTTATTTGTCATGTTGTAATTCTATCTATCGGAAGCTACTGCGGGATGGGATGGAAAGAAATTTATCTTTAACAAGAAAATTATGCCCAACATAGAACATCAGTTTCATTAAGAATCCATGTCAGTGTATCTACATCTTATATAAAAAAAAAGAAATGAGGTAAAATCATGCATCTTTATAAAACAATTATCTGATCTTTCATTCCAAACAGGCATTTAGGTTCACGATTGCATTTATTTTTTTAAAGAAAGCAACTTGTTTATAATGTTGTACTCAACCCTTCTAGTCTTTCCATCAGTAATTTCGATCATTGATTGTCAGAAGTTCCTCAGAAGTACACATTTTTCTCAGAATTTCATGATCTGAAAGGAGTGGTTTTAAAAGGGAAAATAACTGGTTATATTTTAGTGAAATGATAATGAACGAATAATGAACGATGTTCTACGCTTCAATTCTTGTGTTGACTGTTTTTATTATATTTATGATTTTAGATTTGTCTCTCTAATTTCTGCGACGATAATCTTTATCTTTTAAGACTTTCAACATAAAATCAATAATGGTCAGGAAAGCAGGCATTTTAGTGTGCACTCTTGTTTTTACCAAGGATTTGTATAGTTAGAAATACAAATCTTTGTTTTTACTAGAAATTGTGTCTGGACACATATTTACATTTTGGGCCAAAATCACTTATTGTAATGTCTTATTGAAGTTGATAGAAAGACGAATATAATGAAAAGAGAACAGAAAAAATGTCCAACAAAATAATTTGCCGAATCACAGCACTAACGATGCTTTTGGTTAAAAGCTGGGACAACTAAATATTAGTATTAGTCCCAGTTAACATGATATGTCTGTTCAATATTCAAAGAATGCAATTTGAGTGAGGACTATGCATTACTCATGAAGAAAATTTTGATAAATGTTGATCAATTCCTTTACACCTGGGACATCTAGAACAAAAAAAGAAAAAAAAGTATCTACTTGGAAGGGAATACGTAGCTCTACTTCCTATGTAAATATAGGTTTTGTTGGATATGTCTTACTAGTTTATTTCATCTATAAAAACTCGATATTTGCTAGAATTGATTCTACCAAAATGGAAAGAATAAGTTTGTTTTATGCAGTAACATGTTAAAAATACGAAAAGAGAGGGCGTTAAATTCCAGTTCTATTCGTTAATCGGCATGTGAATATTTGAAATAACTTACGTGTACAGGTAAAAGAACATATTTGCGTTATTTTAAATCGATACCGGATACCCCCCAAAAGTTAAAATTGAAAATCGGCCTAAATATTTTGTTCATGTTAAAATTTAATATGTTTTTTTTTTCTATCAATGTACCTGACATGATACTTATTCGCGGAGGCGTTGACTAAAAGGATGGGCATGCTAATTAAACGCGGCGGTGTGGGCGAAAAGAGTGGAATTATCAAAAAAAATATTGCTCGGAATTCATACCACAAATGTTTATATACAGTTACATTATCGTTATCAACTGATATTCAGGTAGATGCGAATATTATAGTAATGGGGATGGTTATTAGCTGATTTTTTTTCAACTGGTAAGTTTTTGGTAGTAGAAATTTATCAAACGTAAATGTTTAACACTTTACACAAATACAGTGAATGCCAAATGAATGATACAGGCAAAGCGTCGTTGCAGCCAAGTTTTGCTCTTTTCAAAAATTACTATATTTACTTGTATTAGAGGAAGATTTGGATGATTTTCATGGTTTATAGGATTACTATATTTACTTGTATTAATAAAGGAAGCTTTGGATGATTGTCGTGGTTTATATGAATACTATATTCACTTGTATTAATGGAAGCTTTGGATGATTTTCATGATAAGTATTGGAGATCCAACATTTGGAAATACAAAAAAAATGCTTTTAGGAAGAACTGAACAATAAAACACATTCAGCACATTATTTTTATAGAGAAATTAATCTTATATCTCGCGTAAAATTAGGTTTGGCTACTGACTGGTATTACACATTTTAATCCAAGAGTGGTATTTTTTTTTAATAAAACAGAGACATATACTATAATAATATTGTATTATATATCTCTGGATAAAATAAGACATACCTATCTATGTACTTTATCGAAGATATATAATGTTGAGGCGAACAAAAAGGATGTTAAAATTAGAATCGCGAGTTAAACATGTAGAAAAGTTGCATAGTAGATGGCTTTCACTGGGTGATCATTGAAAAAAAATATAGTTATCAAGTTCGTACATATAATTATTTCTTGATTGCATACATTAATGCTCTTCATTATTGGAGGAAATACAGATATAAATAAATAAAAAAAGTACATGGTAACCTTGAACAATAGTTAGTCTATAAGCATGAATCCATTGTAATTAGACTTGTCTAGATTTACTCATTCAGTAGACAAATAATTCCTTACGGAATATAAGGAACTAAGTTAGCAAATTAATAGATGTTTAGATGTTATAGGTATACTTTATCCCTTTTTATCCTTTATTTATTTCAGGCTAATGATGTTCATATAAATTGATGATATCTCATTTAAATTTACTATATTTTATTAAGTAATTGCAGAAGTCGATTAGTGGACTTTTGCTAATTGTAATGAAACTGAATGCTGCTAACCATTTTAAAGTAGCTGAAGACGCGTTTCCCGTCTTACTACAATGAATTATTGCGAGCAAGCCTCGTGACGACATTATGGCTAATCTGACATCTTGTTGGCTGGATGCGATTAATATGTATATTTAGATATAGATTATGCCTTGAAGTAAATTTGTTGGTTTCATAACTATATAAAGAGCTTGTTTACCATGATTGCCATCAAATTGTATTTCTTTTGTATGCATGGTCTTGAGTATCATTCGAGTGCATTAGAACACACCTTATACAGTGCATCCCAGAATCACTCCTTTTACATATATATTATGGTGTTAACCAGCCATTTTAAAAGATAAATATGTAAATTAATCGAATTAAATAAGCTTTTGTTACAAAACCCTAGTGTTTTATTTTCCCAGACAGCAGGGCACCACACTGTATCATATCACCTTATCAGTATGAACTTTTTCTAACATTTTCAGGGAACCAAACATGCCATTACTGGGCCTATTGTTTCCAGTCTACAGTTTGATGGTTGTTTTCACAGGTAACTCGATAGATGGATTTAGATTCTCAATCTCTTTCGCTTTCTAGACAGTCAAAAAAAAAAAGGCCCATTCAATATTAATATGTCAAATAATTTATAATACTGAGGACCAAATGGCAGTGTATGAACAGGGCCGACATCTCCGAAAAACTATATGGTCCGAATTAAGTTTTTCTCTCCATTTTTCTCTGTTTGCATTTAACCGGTTACAACATTACACTCGCGGCGCCGGTCCCATTACCGACTGAAGTTTATTTTCGTACCCAGAGGCAATTTAAGTAATAATGGGCATAATGTTGCTCAAAACTGTTCCATAAAACTATAAGTTCATAAACTTGACCATTTTTTGGGCTTCGATTTTAATTTACTAAATATTAATTCTAATAAAGCTGTAAAACATCCCTGTTTTAGACTAACGATTAGCTAAATATGCAATAATGCATTACAAAATCTAGTATAGTTCTGTATAAAAGCCTACCAATATCCCAAGTCACCCGTCTTGATATTAACTACTAGGACGATGCAGTACTTAAAACTAACTATTAAGGTGAATATATTGAAAATATTAAATATCTGTACTTGTCAAATGTTGTCTTACGGTTTTTATATTTTCCACAGAAGGTTGTATGAGAAGTTCTAACAATTCAACTGAAAGCAAAATGAAGTACAAGGTAAATAACCAAACAATTCCAGAAAATCATAGACTAGGTTGTACATTTAACGAAACACAAACATTGGCCTGTTTGAATGGAGGATCATGCTTTGCTGTTGAAGTAGGAGGCAGAATAGTGCAATGTGCGTGAGTATCTTAGCTGTACTTGGATAAAAAAGAGGAATGATAATAACTATATGTAACGAGCACTCTTATTCTGTTGTAAAAGCAACGAAATCCATAGATTGGAAGGGGAAGTTTTCAATATCCATGTATACATTGTCATCAACTTTCTTGGTAATACCAGTAATTGTTGAATACAAGAGTGTAAAACTTAGCAGTTAATCTTAAACCAGTTTCTGTTGTGTGTGTGTGTGTGTGGAAGTATTTAAAGCTAATATAAAATGTTGTTTACTTATTTGGATGCATGATAAGCCTATTTTCTTTTTTCAGATGTTATACTAAATATGTTGGTAATCGGTGTGAGATGATAGATCCAGAAATGATATTTGGTCCATCTGAAAGTAAGCCAAGTATTTAACAGTCAGTAGTTTCTAACATTTAGTGGAAACATTTACAAAAACTTGATGGAAGAAGAATGAAAACATGGCAATATATTTTATGTAGTCTGGTTCTTTAACCACATTGCTATCTGCCCATAATGACAAGATTCCTTGTCTGTCAAAGTCAACCACGTGTCTAGTCTGGTTCTTTTTACCACATTGCTATCTGCCCATAATGACAAGGTTCCTTGTCTGTCAAAGTCAACCACGGGACTATAGTCAGTCTTATATTTTATGGAAGCTGGTTTAAATAATTTTCAGGATTGGTTTGTAACTAATTATGAAATCATTAGTTTGTTAAAGGCAATAAAAATAAAATTTCATGGTACACTAGATGAAAATAAAATCCATGTCAGTTATTTAATTGCATTATTGTTGTTTTATTTTTTTTTTTCAGAAGAAAAAGAAGTAAGAATTGGACTCATATCAGGTGTTACAGCATACATCATCTTAATACTTATTGTCGTGCTGGTAGTTATATACTGTAAAAAGATTAAAAACAGGAGGTAAGATTGGTTTTCATAAACACATCACCAACCCGTGTTTTCAACATAATGCACATTTTATAAAATCTTCAAAAATCTTGTAGGTAATTACTCTCAATGTTAATATGAAAAAACAGAACTCAAATTTCTTAAACATGTCAAAATTCGAGGTTTTATCATAACCCTTCTTGACAAGTTATTACAGGTAAAGTTAACAATTTGTGACTGAACCTGGGTTTTATAGCTTACTATACGGCATTGGTTTCGGTCACTGCATTGTTATACCAGCTAAAACGCCGTCAACAATGTTCTATTTCTTTCGCTAAGTGTTCTATGAAGAGATAAATAAAACTGATATTACAAATGTTAGTACGTTAATATCCCAAATCTCCTTCTGCAGAGAAGATGATATTGATAGATGATCACATTTTAACAACAATTTCAACGAACACAATTGTTTACAAAGACAACTTTCATAATGTTCATAGATTAATGATATTATAATAACGGTCAAAACTTTACTAAATTCTAACATACATATATCACATACGAGGGTTTATTGTGGAAGTATAATTCGAACTTGCTTCATAAACAGGATTGAATTTCTTGACCCCAAGCTTTTGATGGTAATATCATCTATAATGCAAACAAGTTTAGAAGTGGTCCCTGTTGCCTTTTTCAATAAATAAACTCATAAAATTGTTTGTGTTCAATCTTTTAATTTGGTATTTTGAAGTAATTATCGCCTATCTATAGTTTGATACAAAACTAAAATGTTAACGACGTATGAAATCTAATCTGATGTTCAACCGCCAATATTAGAATTTAAGGTGGCATGATTTAATGTTAGCAAACAGGTTTTTGAGCTTGCTTTCAACAATTGTGAGCATTCCTTTACTTGAGTTTGCTTTCAATAACTGCGAGCATTCCTTTACTTGAGCTTGCTTTCATTAACTGCGAGCATTCCTTTACTTGAGCTTGCTTTCAATAACTGGAAGCATTCCTTTACTCGAGCTTGCTTTCAATAACTGTGAGCATTTATTTATTTGAGCTTGCTTTCAATAACTGCGAGCATTCCTTTACTTGAGCTTGCTTTCAATAACTGTGAGCATTCCTTTACTTGAGCTTGCTTTCAATAACTGCGAGCATTCCTTTACTTGAGCTTGCTTTCAATAACTGTGAGCATTCCTTTACTTGAGCTTGCTTTCAATAACTGTGAGCATTCCTTTACTTGAGCTTGCTTTCAATAACTGCGAGCATTCCTTTACTTGAGCTTGCTTTCAATAACTGTGGGCATTCCTTTACTTGAGCTTGCTTTCAATAACTGCGAGCATTCCTTTACTTGAGCTTGCTTTCAATAACTGTGGGCATTCCTTTTTCGTTGAGCTTGCTTTCAATAACTGCGAGCATTCCTTTAAATATATTAGTTGTTTACCTATACCTATATTTTTGTTTTGACATTAACAACTATTTAAGGAGTCACTTTGTTGCCTATTGTTTCGACATTAACAACTATTTAAGGAGTCACTTTGCTAATCGTTATACTGTTGATTTTTATTCATCAAGAACAATTCTATTAATTCTATTAATTTATATTCTATTTTTAGGAAGGAGACTTCCACTCTTAATACAGCGGGTTATAAATCAGATGGAGGCATAGACAAAGATTGTACTGGAAATGTTAAATCAGAAGTAACTTTTAACCTGATAGAAAAAATGGGTGACAAACAAGAACTGGAGAATGACGCTGAAAAAGTAACTGTTTTGAAATGAAATTGCTTTGAATAGCTGCGTTGTTTGCATCATCTTTATATCAGACATTTGTTATTCAAATGACAAAAATAGTATAAAAGTATTTATACATCACAAGGAAAATATATATAAGGGAAACAAAATCTAAATGGTTATACTGTGATTACTATTTATAACCATGGTGCTTTGCAGTTTTTGACTTATATATGTTTAATACATTGGTCCCAGTTGCAATGTAAACAATGTATTTATTTCAATTTACCAATTCATAGTGTTCTTTTAAAGGTATGCATTTTAATTGTTATGGCCCCGCCACAAAGTGGTCGGGGCCTTATAGTTTTACCCTTATTCGTCATTCCATCATTCCGTACTTCTGTCATCCCGTCATTCCACAACGAACAGACTTTTTTTCTAAACGCCTTCACATATCAAATTTCCACTCCTAAAAATGGCTTCAAGCTTTTTTGCGAGCGGGACAATTCATGTCGTATTGACAAATCTAATTTTTCTTTGAATCAAAGATTTTCATACATTCTTATTGTTTAGGAGACAGCTGAAGCCTGCCGCCGGGTGCGGGATTTTTTTCGCTGCGTTGAAGACTCAATGATAGCCTTGGGCTGTTTTCTGCTCTTTTGTCGTATTTGTTGTCTCTTAAACACATTCCCCGTTTCCATGCTCAATTCTATTATAGTATTTAAGAATCAAAATGTGTGTCTGTCCATGTGCTTGGACCATAGATCATGAGATGAAACATCAAATAGGTAGATTATGGATCAAGTTTAGATGATCATCCATAGTTATGATCATATCCCTTTGAAATGCACACACTGTAATATCTCGTCTGCTTTACTGATCATGATTGAATTGATGTTGAAAGCCTTAAAGAAAAAGGTAAAACAAAATGTATTACATAAAATTAACAGTATCAATGATCCATGTAACTGAGGTGAAGGTCAGATAAACCCTGCCAGACGGACATGTACGCCCTACAATCATTCCATACACAAAATATAGTTAACCTATTGCTTTAAGTATCTGAGAAAAGACCTAACTAAGAAAACTTAACTTTGATCAATGAACCATGAAAATGAGTTCAAGGTCTGATAAACTCTGCCAAACAGACATGTTCACCTTTCAATCATTCCATACAACACATATAGTTAACCTTTCAGTTATAGTATCTGAGAAACGAACTCGACCATGAAAACATAACGCCGACCTTTGACCTAAGAAAATGAGGTTAAGTTGAGACGAACCTGTCAGATAGAAATGTACACCATATAATCATTTCATACGCCAAAATAGAGTTGAATTCATGGTTTTAATTCATAATAAAAAATCTTCAGATTGCCCAGTGAACAATGAAAATGAGGTAAAGGTCAGATCAACTCTACCAGAAAGACATGAACATCTTGCAATCATTAAAATACACCAAATATAGTTCACGTATTGCTTATAGTATATGAGAAACCTTCTTATCCATTAAAACATAACACTGACCAATGAACCTTGAAAATGAGGTCAAAGTAAAATGAACCCTGCCAGACAGACTTTTAAACCTAACAATCATTCCATACACCCAATAAATTTGACCTATTGCTTATAGTATTTGCGAAACGGACTAAATCGCAAAACATTTACATTGACGAGACAACCATGAAAATGAGGTCAAGGTTAAATGACATTTGACCTCATTTTCATGGTTGTCTCGTCAATGTATTATGATTGCCAGACAGGGATGTACACTTAACGATCATTACATACATCAAATTTAGTTGACGTACTGTTAATAGTATCTCAGCTACGTACTTTCAAACGAAAACTTAACCTTGATCACTATCCCATGAAATGATGTCGAGGTCAGGAAACCCTATCTGACGGACATGTAGACCTTGCAAGGATGAAGACGGGTACTCGGCCGTTATTTGACAAGTTTGACAATACTTGTATATCCCGAAGGCATACTGAATATTTTACAGAGGGAACCAACCTATCAAGGATGCAACTTGCCAAATACAGATTTTACTCATAATAAGTGAGAAATTCACACGACAAAAAAACTATATAGCATTTTTAAGCAGTCACGAGTCCTGAGTGCAACTGGTCATTCATTCATACATATGGACGAAACTTACAATGCCTGGTCAGTTACTAAAATTATCTTTCATTGTTCAACTTTTATCATTCATTCATTAATTTCTTAATTTATTTTAATGTTACCAGATTACAGCACTGTTTATTTTTATACCACAACAAATTTAAACTGCATCCCGCAGGTTTCATTTATACTTTTATCCACATAACAAAAACCTTGAAACAAGATTAATTCTGCAATACCTTTTCATTTCAATACTACAAAATCATAGTTCATATTTCTTTTAGTTTGCACTATTTGTCATAATTTATTTCCAGAAATTAAGAATCAGAAACAAATAAATTGGATATACCATGTTATTAGAATTATTTCATACTGGAAATTTTTCTTTTGTATAACTTCTACCAGGCCTTGGAGAATATAAGAAAAAGATATTTTCAAAGAAAGAATTGAATTAAAATATATACATGTGTAATACAACAGGAGTGTACTTTCTTGCTCATCTAGTCCCATGTGCAAGCCAGGTATTATCATCACTTTGAACTATTAGACAACGTCTGAGAAACAATTTCGAACGAATTCTTTCACTTATGCTACTGAGATGATCCTTAACTAATTTACAGTTCCATGTAAGAAATGACCACCACAACGAACATAAATAGAACCATAAGAAAGAACATACATACAGGTTCTTATAAACCATCTTGCATATAAAAATCGCATAATGCAGAAATACAGCTAACGTGTTCCTCTACTGAGTTTTTACTTTAATCCAAACTCAAAGTAGTTGGACATATTTTAACAGAATCATTTGGTAATCCATGTAACATGTACAAATAGCATCTCCTCCATGACAATCCTGAACATAAAAACCAAATATTGAATAACCGACACAGCAAACTTTTAATGTTTGGTACTGGTCTGATATTCAGGATGGCTACCACTGTGCAACACAGTTTAACATAGAACACTATGGGGAAAAACACGAAAACTTTGTTGTCAGGAAACACTGTCAAACATTTAAACATACTATCCACACTGATATGTGTCCATACTTGTTATTCAAATAAAATGTATAAAACTACAAAGAGTTCAAATTATGATCTAGCACTGCTACTAACATTCAGCTGACTCTGTCGGAATAGTTCATCACATCATAGAGATACAAAGCTAGAGGTTCTCAAGAGCCTGTGTCGCTCACCTGTATCTACTGTGGTTTTGGAAATCATGTGAAATAAGGTTAAACTAATAATAAATAGTATTAGATACACAGGCACTCGTCTCAGAAAAAAATTTCCTATATACCTTTATATAAAGGTATACAGGAAAACAAATCTGAGACGATACCCTAATAATGATTGAGGCCAAGTTTGGTATAATTCGGCCGAGTAGTTAAATTTAAAGCTGGTCATCCCATTGTAGTCTTACAATAGTTACTGAAGACCCCTTATCATTATATAAATTAGTTTTCAAGTTGTGACCATTTGAAATTTTTTTTTTTACAATTTTCCGATAGACTTCTATAGTAAACCCCTATGTTCTATTTTAAGTCAATGGCCGCCATGTTGGTTGGATGACAGGGTCAACGGATACATTTTTCAATCAAGATACCCTATTGAAAAATTGTGGCTTATTTGAATTCTATCTGGCCCAGTAGATTAAGTGGAGAAGGTTTTTGTAAAACATTACAAAAATTTACGAAAAATTGTGAAAAATTGACTTTAAAGGGCAATAACTCCTTATGGGGTTAATTGACAATTTTGGTCAAGTTGACTTATTTGTAGATCTTACTTTGTTGAACAATTTTGCTGTTTTCAGTTTATCTCTTTCTATTATAATATTCAAGATAATAACCAAAAAATGCAAAATTTCCTTAAAATTACCAATTCAGGGGAAGCAACCCAACAACGGGTTTTCTGATGCGTCTGAAAATTTCAGGGCAGATAGATCTTGACTTGATGAACATTTTTATCCAGTCAGATTTGCTCTAAATGCTTTAATTTCAGAGATATAAGCCAAAAACTGCATTTTACCCCCCCCCCCCCCCCCCCATGTTCTATTTTTAGCCATGGCGGCCATTTTGGTTGATGGGCGGGGTCATCGGATACATTTTGTAAACTAGATACCCTAAGGATGATTTAGGCCAAGTTTGATTTTATTTGGCCCAGTAGTTTCAGAGGAGAAGATGTTTGTAAAAGTTAACTACGACGACGACGGACGACGATGAAACGCCAAGTGATGAGAAAAGCCCACTTGGCCCTTTTGGGCCAGGTGAGCTAAAAATGAATATTATAACGGACTGGAAATAGGCATTAATAGACACTTTTGAGAAAATGAATAATTTCCAAAGAGAACGTGTATTGTGTGGGAAACAATAGAAATTCAAATTTTCTCCATATACAATTAATGTAAAAAAATGCATAAATTTCTGAACATGATTCGGTTATATTACTTACTGAAATCATCTTAATTTTACAAGTTTGATTTCAGAGGATTACACGAACAATCAGTGACACAAAAAGGAATGTCTTATATAGGATTCATTTCCATGGGAAACTAGACATATTGAACTGGTATTCATGAAATGTTTCCCAGGGAAATAGAAGTATAAGATGGTACTATTTTACGCGCGTAAGTGTTTCCGATATTTTCCACCAAAAATATTAGTTTCCCAGGAAAATATTTCTTATATGGTTTCCCTGGGAAATAATTTGACGACAACTTTAGTCAGCTACATTTGAATAAAGCTGGGATTTCCAATAAGAAATGAACCGCATACTCATCATTCAACCATCAACAGTTACAAGTTGGGACTTCTTTTCCTCTGGAATATTTGCTTCTTTATGATTTATGATTAACTACAATCGTATATGATCTGATATGGTTCAGCACACTACTTTAAAATAGATATTTTTATGTAGTTTTCTGAGCCATATCAGATTGTAATTTGCTAAGCCAAAGTTCTTTAATAGCTGCTTTTTTCAGAAGATTCCCATGATAGCTTGGTAGGTATAGTCTTTATGTATGTCGTAGTTATCTCCTGTGATTTATATTGTGAAAGATTAAATCCTGTAAAAGAAACGTATTTGATATTACATATTCATAAGGATTTAACGACCAGAGAGTTTCCCTATATTACTATTTTCGCAGGTCAGTTCACCATATACGAATAAAAGTTACCCTGTGTGTATTCTCGTCTCACACGGCAGTGATCTTATAAACAAATATCAATGCACAGTTTGCTGTGTTCTGGCCAGTACAAGATAAAAAAGAAAATTAAGGGTTTTTTTAGTGTTTTTTTTTTTCGGGGGGAGGGGGATTTATTTATGTATCCAACTGGGGGTTTCTCAACGACAATCAACCATTTAAATCAATTTTGGTACAAAATAGCATTGATGGATCCTGTTGAAAATTGCAGGATGTATTCTATTCGAACCATGTACTCCAGTTTTAAAAGAGAGAATAGAGTGTTTTTCTTGGAATGTTCATTCAAGCATTATTATAAAAGCTCTTTTTCTTTCAGTTCCGAAGGGATAATTCACAGATAAGTTGTTTCTTTTGCGGGGTTATATTGGATTTTATCACCGTCCAACAGGAAGATTTACATTTTATGACGAAAATAATTTGATTTCTATCTGCCACCTTCCACCGCATAAATAAGAAAATTTGACTTCGACTTTCATTTTAAAATATCTACCTTCCGATGATGTGAGCTATTGCTATTGAGTACGAAAAAACAAATAAAATTGTAATAATCAAAAAAAATATATATTCACATATATGATGCAGTCATCAGCAAAGAGTCTTAATTTGCTAAATGTTAGATATTATTAAAACATTATTGGTATAAATTAGATATCATATCATAGAGATTAGACAGGTACTCCAGATGTGACTGGCACTGATGTAGAGGAAATACCATTCATTACAACTGTGTGTGTTCTATCGAATAAGAAAGCTTGCATCCAGTTTAGTGTTTTTTTTCTGATAGCATTGTAGTTTAATTTGTTTAGATGTTTATTTCAAATTAAAGTTCAGCCGCAGTAACTGCGTAAACAGGTAAAGTAGCCGTTAATGTAGAACTTTATTATACGCGTTAGCAAAGTCCGTAATGATAAGGTCAGTTTGTATGTTACGATTATTCATACTATATAGATGCTAAGTTATTGGATGAGTCGTGTTTATTTATATAAAATGTTATTTTTTTTCTCAATGTGACATTATGTTACTTGTGATGATGTGTTCTATGATCTTACAGCATAATGTTAATGATATGGCCGATCTATAATTTACAGGTTTATATTTTCAGCCTTTTAAAAACTTTTTGAATTCTAATATTTTATAATGCCACAATAAGTTTCAGATTTAGTTTGTTGAGCTAAAGGTTTTTGTAAGAATAGACATTTCCAATTTTAAAATATTTGTTTTATATTGGTGTAAAGATTTATTGCTCCTATATATACATGATCTTACGTCGGAGCACAGGCACTTGTCTCTGAAAAATATCTTTATACTTTAATATAACAAAATATACTAACATATACAGGGAATTTCTTTTCAGAGACCAGTGCCTATGGTAATTTTGTATGTCTTATATCATAACTTGTAAAATAGGTCTCTTTGATAAAAACTGATTATACTTTGGTATATCTCACTATATCTGTCAAATGATGGAAATACTTGAATTGAGGTATAATACACCAATTAATGGTTATTCCTGACCTGATATATAAAAAAGCTTATGTTTGTATGTTAGAAATAGAGTTTATAAATAAATTTTACTGTAGTATGGAAATTGGAAAAGATTTCACAGAATCTTTTATAAACAGAATAAAAAAAATCTTAAATAAATATAGTTTGCCAACATCCAAAAGATTTGCTCGAAAACCTGCCATCAACATACAAATGGAAAAAAATGCTGAAAAGAACCATCATAGATACTGGTCAAATATATGAAAAGAGGAATGCTTTACAAACAACAATTAACTTGTCAATCCAAGAAAATCCTATCGAAAACCCACACAATACCTGGAAATCTATCAGAAGCAATCAGAATGAAATTCGAAAAGCAGAGGTCAAAAGAAGGCCAATAACTGGAACCTACATGCTTCAATCTTCTGATGCAAAATTTATCAAAAACCAAACATCTGGAATATGTGAACTCTGCACCAAAGCTAAAGAGGATATTAGACATGTTCTGCTGGAATGTGAATCTCTGGAATGTGTTGGACAAAAACACATGAACAAACTTCTCTATCTAAGCGTGCTGAATGGGAAAGGTGGCAAAGATAATTATAAACCGGAGGACGTGCTTCAAATTATAATGGACTGCTCATAGCTAGCAACAACTACATTATCTTATTTAACAACAGATTACATTACAGAAATAACAAAAACATTCTCAAAATTTTGTCATCAACTGCATAAGAAACGCACCGAACTACTATCACAATGATATATTAACCAGAGGCTAAATTGAAACATCCAAGTGCTTTTCTTCAAGACTTTCAACAATATGAATATGCATTAGAATAGCATCAATATTACTGTATCCTATACAGCTAATACGTAGATGCTTATATACATATTAATACAATGCATATACAAAATAAGAAAGATGGACCAGGCAGTCTGTATGGAATGCCAAGCTAACTGCTCCCATTTATGTCTAGATCTGCTGCTTGCATCTAATTACATGCTGAGACCTTGGCAGGGGCCACCTTATTTTCAAATTTTAAGTCATATAATAAATTTAAAGTACTGATTTATTTTATTTTTGGTTATCTTGTACCTTAATGACTTAATTCATTCCCTTTTTCTTTGTTATTTTTTATCTGAGACTACTATAACACATAGTAGTCTCAGTTTTGATTCAATTTTCATGGCCTTGCAACAAAGTTGTCGGGCCATATAGTTTTACCCGTGTCCGTCACCCCCGTCATTCCGCAACAAACCATTATACGGACTTTTTTTTCTAAACGCCTCCAGATATTGGGCTGTTTTTGGTATGTGAGTTAACCATGATGAGTTATAGATCAAGTTTAAGTTTGTTCCGCTCTGCTAATTTGTGCCGAAATTACGGGCTTTGGACTTTGATAAATTGTTGAAAATCACAGTTATACGAATTTTTTTTTCTAAACACCTTCAGATATTGGGTTGATTTTTGGTATGTGAGTTAACCATGATTTGTTACAGATCAAGTTTAAGTTTCGATCTGCTCTGCTGATTTTTGTCGTAATTGACAATTGGTTTTGGACTTTGAAAATTGTTGAAAATCACAGTTATACGGACTTTTTTTCTATACGCCTTCAGATTGTGTGCTGATTTTTGATATGTGAGTCTACCATGATGAGTTACAGATCAAGTTTATGTTTCGTTCCGATATGCTGATTTTCATGTCGTTTCAACACATCTTCAGTACATCCACTTCCTGTTTGCTGAAATTTAACCGGCTACTCATTCGATCAAGGAAATTTTTCATCAAACTAGTATTGGTCTTGAGAGCTGGATACTATCCATGCATGTTTGTGTCCCCACGTGTTGTTGAAAATGCAGATTTTCCAATTTTTTTGAGACGGGGCCTTTCGTGTCGTTCCGACACATCTAGTTGATTTTTAATTCTTTCAATTTTTAAAAAGATTTTATTGATTTTTACGTTTTAACATATGGTATAAAACTTCCTTTTATTTCATTAAAAGCAGAGACATATATTGTATTATATGTCTCTGTTAAAAGCAACTATATATTATTTACATCCTACAATCTTAACTTGGCCTGTATAGGTAGAACTATCATGAAATAATGTAAATAGCACATAACTAAATATTTGATTTATATCCACAGTTCTCATCTGCATATAAAACTATTAATTTTTAGCACCCCATCACACTATGTAAATATCCTTGTAAATATTGGTTAAGTGTTAAACCTATATCCCAAGTGGAAGTGCTCCAATTTATAACGGAGGATCATACTAGTACAGAACAGAATTATTATGTTGTACTGTACGTTTCTCTCCGCTTACCCAACAATGCCCTTTGATTACCTGATCGTAGATCGTAACCAAACATAGATGATGCAAGCCAAAGCAATGTTCCTAATCTCCCTAATATCATGTGCAATATTCAGCAATATTAAGTATTTCACATATCAGATTCGGTTTAAGAGGAGAAAGAAGTTAAAATAAAACTCCGGCGACAATAACATGAGTGGATTTTACGAGAAACTGAAAGCATTTACTCCATTTCAGTCTTTTATTCAGTTTCAGTCGATACAAAATGAAGAACAAAAAGAAGGTATGATTTTTACTGGTACAGTTTCACAATTTGAAAAATTATCAATTTTGGACTGTCTGCGTACAGCATTTACAGACTTGTTTGTTTAGTATTTTTTTTCTTTAATATACATGATTCTTTGCATAGGGAATAGTTGGTTTTACATTGTATTAATAAGATGTCTCAAAACTTCTAAACGCTTATGAAATATTTAGTCTACTTATGGGGAATAAAATTTAGAAAACCTTCTGTTAACCTTTATAGATATTATAATTATCCTTTATGATTGTCTTCAGATGAAGCCACCATCCTGTTTTTGGTTTCTCAGAGTCCTGAGTGAGTGGTTTCATAATTTGCCTGGTCACAAAATCCGTAATTAGGGTTAAACATGTTTGTGAGCACTCAACCCTCCCCTAACCTGGGACAGCGTGTAACAGCACAACATAAGAACAAACTATAATAATCAGTCCAAGACTGTTGAAAAAGGCTTAACTCATATAAGATCGATACAAAGAAGAAAAACATCAAAGAAAAACACAAACAGGACCTGGCAGGGTATATATCCATCCCTCATCTCTAACAACAAAAAAGTACAGATCTGAGAGAACTTGCAGTTACTGACAGCTAGTTCAAAGCCAATAACAACTAATAAAAAAATTAAATATCTAAGACTAAAATATCAATCTGTACATATCCAACATCCAATGGATTTAGTATAAAGACGTCATTTACAGTCAGAGAAAAACATGACCTTGTGCTATGCCAAAATAAAGGTATAGACAGATTGAAGTACCTTTAAAGTGCATATGTGTATAACAATACTATTTAGTATGATTTAATTTACTGATAACAAAATCAATATTTATCCCAATAAAAAACAATATTAAGCATATTTTTTTGCTTTGATTTAAAAGGAACTCTGTTGGTGGCTAAATTAAAAAAAAAACTGCTCAAGACACAGAATCTCAAAAGAGATTAATAAACTAACTTATTACATTCTGTATTATAATCATTGCCGTTCAACTTATAATCGCTGAATTTTATTTTTATGCTGATTTTTCAGTTAGTAAGGAACAGATTCTCAATCTGCAGATACATTTACCAAAGGACTGGAACAATAGTTTCAAAAACTATAGAACATATTTAATCGTTGCTGTTGATACAAGTGGATCTATGGGCGGTAATCCCATAAAACAGGTATGTTTTTTTGTTATTTAATGTTATTCAGGGTTATATCTGGTCTATATACCAGCTTTGATAAGTGTTTGGTATTACTATAAATCTTCACTTCGTACGATGAACATCAAAATTATTTATTTTGTAAAAATATTTCCTTTCTCTATTTGAACTGTACACGTATACCTAACAACAAAATTATTTTCATTTACCTGTGTTTAAAGTAATTGCAAATGGCTGATATTTTTGTTCGAGCATATTGTTTTTCTTAAATTGTTTAACATTTCATAGCGGTATAACATGTTACTTTTATTATTCTTCCCTTAGTTTATTTATTTTGTATTTACATTGTATCATAGGTTACATTTATTTGTTCAGTGTATGTTCAATGGTGTTAATATGTCCTTTGATTGAGTTAAGCTATTTCAGTTAATATTTTATAGTGTGTTTTTCTATGTTGTGATGTTACACTATTGTTTCAGAAAAAGGGTGAAGGTTTGGTACCATTAAAACGTTTAAACCCGCTGCAATTGTTTGCACCTGTCCTAAGTCAGGAATCTGATGTTCAGTAGTTGTCATTTGTTGATGTGGTTCATAATTAATATAAGTGTTTTATCGTTTCACGTTTTTTATATAGATTAGACCGTTGGTTTTCCTGTTTGAATGGTTTTACACTAGTAAATTTTGGGGCCCTCTATAGCTTGCTGTTCGTTGTGAGCCAAGGCTCCGTGTTGAAGACCGTACTTTGACCTATAATGGTTTACTTTTATAAATTTTGACTTGGATGGAGAGTTGTCTCATTGGCACTCATACCACATCTTCTTATATATATGTTGAGAGTGGATCTAAGGGCGGTAATCCAATAAAAGTGGTATGTTGAGAGTGGATCTATGGGCAGTAATCTAATAAAACAGGTATGTTGAGAGTGGATCTTTGAGGGGTAATCCAATAAAACAGGTATGTTGAGAGTGGACCTATGGGCGGTAATCCAATAAAACAGGTATGTTGAGAGTGGATCTATGGGGGGTTATCAAATAAAACAGGTATGTTGAGAGTGGATCTATGGGCGGTAATCCAATAAAACAGGTATGTTGAGAGTGGATCTATTGGGGTAATACAATAAAACAGGTATGTTGAGAGTGGATCTACAAGTATGGGGGTAATCCAATAAAACAGGTATGTTGAGAGTGGATCTATGGGCAGTAATCCAATAAAACAGGTATGTTGAGAGTGGATCTATGGGTAATAATCCCATAAAACAGGTATGTTGAGAGTGGATCTATGGGTGATAATCCAATAAAAGTGGTATGTTGAGAGTGGATCTATGGGCGAAAATCCAATATAACAGGTATGTTGAGAGTGGATCTTTGAGGGGTAATCCAATAAAACAGGTATGTTGAGAGTGGACCTATGGGCGGTAATCCAATAAAACAGGTATGTTGAGAGTGGATCTTTGGGGGGCTATCAAATAAAACAGGTATGTTGAGAGTGGATCTATGGGCGGTAATCCAATAAAACAGGTATGTTGAGAGTGGATCTATTGGGGTAATACAATAAAACAGGTATGTTGAGAGTGGATCTACAAGTATGGGGGTAATCCAATAAAACAGGTATGCCGAGAGTGGATCTATGGGCAGTAATCCAATAAAACAGGTATGTTGAGAGTGGATCTATGGGTGGTAATCCCATAAAACAGGTATGTTGAGAGTGGATCTATGGGTGATAATCCAATAAAACAGGTATGTTTAGAGTGGATCTATGGGCGGAAATCCAATATAACAGGTATGTTGAGAGTAGATCTATGGGCGGTAATCCAATAAAACAGGTATGTTGAGAGTGGATATATGGGTGGTAATTCAATAAAACAGGTATGTTTAGAGTGGATCTATGGGCAGTAATCCAATAAAACAGGTATGTTGAGAGTGGATCTATGGGTGGTAATCCCATAAAACAGGTATGTTGAGAGTGGATCTATGGGTGATAATCCAATTAAACAGGTATGTTGAGAGTGGATCTATGGGCGGAAATCCAATATAACAGGTATGTTGAGAGTAGATCTATGGGCGGTAATCCAATAAAACAGGTATGTTGAGAGTGGATATATGGGTGGTAATTCAATAAAACAGGTATGTTTAGAGTGGATCTTTGGGTGATGATCCATTATAACAGGTATGTTGAGAGTGGATCTTTGGGTGATAATCCAATAAAACAGGCATGTTGAGATTGGATCTTGAGCAGTAATCTAATAAAACAGGTATGTTGAGAGTGGATCTATGAGGGGTAATCCAATAAAAGTGGTATGTTGAGAGTGGATCTTGGGGGGGGGGGGGGGGGTAATCTAATAAAACAGGTATGTTGAGAGTGGATCTATTGGGGGTAATCCAATAAAACAGGTATGTTGAGAGGGGATCTATGGGTGATAAACCAATATAACAGGTATGTTGAGAGTGGATCTTTGGGGGTAATCCAATAAAACAGGTATGTTGAGAGTTGATCTCTGGGCAGTAATTCAATAAAACAGGTATGTTGAGAGTTGATCTATGGGCAGTAATTCAATAAAACAGGTATGTTTAGAGTGGATCTTTGGGTGATGATCCAATATAACAGATATGTTGAGAGTGGATCTATGGGGGGTAATCCAATAAAACAGGTATGTTGAGAGTGGATCTTGGGGTGATTATCCTATAAAACAGGTATGTTGAGAGTTGATCTATGGGTGGTAATCCAATAAAACAGGTATGTTGAGAGTTGATCTATGGGTGGTAATCCAATAAAACAGGTATGTTGAGAGTGAATCTTGGGGTGATTATCCTACAAAACAGGTATGTTGAGAGTGGACCTATGGGCGGTAATCCAATATAACAGATATGTTGAGAGTGGATCTTTGGGTGATTATCCTATATAACAGGTATGTTGAGAGTGGATATATGGGGGGTAATCCAATAAAACAGGTATGTTGAGAGTGGATCTATGGGTGGTAATCCAATATAACAGGTATGTTGAGAGTTGATCTTTGGGTGATTATCCTATATAACAGATATGTTGAGAGTTGATCTTTGGGTGATTATCCAATATAACAGGTATGTTGAGAGTGGATCTTTGGGTGATGATCCAATATAACAGGTATGTTGAGAGTGGATCTTTGGGTGATTATCCAATATAACATTTATGTTTAGAGTGGATCTATGGGGGTAATCCAATAAAACAGGTACTTTTATCATGTTTATATGGATCTTTTGGTCGTAGCTATATAGAGCCAGTTTATTGATAGCGGATTTCCATGATCTATGGAAGAAAGTAGAGCAGACATATTTGATTTTCAGTTGGTGGTTGTTTAACATAATTGGTACATTTAAGGTCCTGGATATGATGCCTTGGTAGAAGAAAGTTTTGAATGATCAGATCTTCTACATTTCTATTGCAAAAGATAGACAGAAGAATTGTTATAAAGCCAATGATTATTAGAAGATAGTGTATGCATTGATTGATTGTTAATATTCTTGCAAAAGCAATGCTATGAGTGAGTTAGTAAGAGATGTCTACTCTGGTGGTTAGTTGTCTCAATCAAATGACATCTCATTTTTATAATGAGAAATAAGCCTTTAGGTAAAATCTAGGTTAAAAAGGATTGGAGGTAAATATCAATAAAAGAGCAAGCTAGCTTTGCAAAGTAACTATAGTAGAAGTGTATACATGTATATTGTCTTCAACAGTGAATATTCATATTTATCGACAAAAAAATGGACTTACAAGCCTGAAAATTAGTCTTTCATAAAATTACTGTAAATGTTTATGGCTTGTGATTAAGCTTCTTTATAGGAATAATTACTGGTCCAACAACATTTTAGTGGACTGGGTCATATGACTTGTGTTTAATTGCAAAGACTAGATATTGTTCCACAACAGGTTGCAAGCTCTACATCTTCCTTCACGATGACAAGATGTAAATCAGTTCAAAGAGACATATAGATTGGTGTGGCTGATCACACTTCCCAGATAATTGGGATATTTATTCGATCAAAACTTATATTTAAAACTTTTAAATGCATACCTATAATGGATAACTATTCTGTTCAACTGGGTGAAGTGGTAGAATCCGTTTCTCTAATGCTTTAAAGGAAAATGCTGAGGTCAGTGTCCTGAATGAATTTGTTGGGAACTTACGCATGTACATTCAATTATGTCAACAACATTTTGATTTTGACAGGTGAAAACTGCCCTTCGTGGGCTCCTGTCTCAGACTATACCCTGCAGTGACATTAAGACAGATGTTATTTCCTACAACAGTGAAGTTTCTTTGTTGGAACTCAATACAGAAAATTACCAGGAGAAAATTGATGGACTCAAGGCATCATCAATGACAAATTTTATCATCGTATTTGACAAGCTTGATATACTGCTAACAAAATATGGTTTGTAATTATTAATTTAAATATTTCCAGAAATTTTATGCATACATGAAGTTTAAACACTTTGAAAGTCCACACTTCTAAACTTCAAGGGACCCTGGCCAAACACAGCTATTCTATCCCTGTGCACCAACTATCAGCTTAATTTGAGTCCTTGTCCTGCTCTTGATCAAAATTATAACCCATAACTGAATAGAGCAATAAAAAGACCAAAACATTTTTCTAAAGTCATAGAAAGCTCCTGTAAAAGTACTTTTATATACAAATACTTGCACTGTCATTTTCCCACTGTCACAGATTTGTTTATATTACAATATTAAAATAAGCCTTTTTATCTGTACAAATGTGGGTGACATTTCCCTTAGGGTGGTTATTTTGCAATATGACTGGATAGCAATTAAATTTTACAGTTCACTAAAATCATTTTTTATACGCCCATTTACGGGACGTATTATGGTATACCGTTGTCTGTCTGTCTGTCCATCTGTCCGTCGTCAACATGTCGGACATTAACTCAAAAATACTTTAACCAATTTGCTTAAAACTTTGGTGAATTGGTTATATTTATTGATGTGAGCTCCCTTTCGTTTTTTATAAAAAAAATTTTTTTTGAAAAGATGGCAATCAAGGCATCTTATGCCCTTTACCAATGAAAAGACATTTATATCTACTTTCCAAGACTCTCAGGTCAACCACTTTGTGCTTTATATTAAGGAACAACTCAGATTCTTCAGATTGAATTGATTTGAAAGAGTAAAAAAAAAGGACTGATTTGCTTGTATTGTATGTTTCTTCTCAAATTTTTCATGCTTTGATAGCTTTCCTTTTATCCCCCCGCCCTCTTAACTGCACATTGTGGAGACAAAGAAATACTGAAAGTCCGTCTGTTTGTCCATTGGGACTTGCCAGATTTTTATGCATTTAATGGTAAGGTTTATCAGCAATGTCTCTGACAAGTTTGAAAATCAGTGCTAATTAGCTAATTTTTAAAAGTTTTGCCTGTTGGAAATTTAAATTTCATAGAAAATTGCATTGTAAGCACTCTCAAGTGTACAATTCTTTCCAAATATTTGCGAAATTTATATCAAAGGTTTATATCAGCAATGTCTCAGACAAGTTCCAATATCAGTGCAGAATAGCTCTTTTTAAAAGAGTCATGTCCCTTGGAAATATTAACTATATAGAAAATTGCATTGTAAGTAGTTTCACTCCTGCATTTCATGTAAGATTATTATTAAGGTTTTATACAAGAAATGTCTTGAGTGAGTTAGAATATCAGCACTGATCAATTATTTTTTATGAGTTTTGTCTCTTTGAAATGTAAATTATATTGAACATTGCATTGTGAGAACTCCCTCACCCACATTTCTTGTCAAATTTTTTTTGGAGGTTTATATCAAAGACATATATCAGCAAGGTCTTGAAAGAGTGAATATACTCATGTCACATATTGCTATTTTGTGGAACATACTTATGTCACACAATCTTATTTTGTTTGGCAAACTTATGTCACATTGTCTTGTTTTGTTGGGGCCTTGGTGGCTGAGTAGTCTTAGTAGTCGAACTACTGTTTCACTAGCCTGTCAACACTGAGGTTGTGAGTTTGAAATCCAGCATGTGACAGGCACGCTCGACTCCAACCTTAATTGACTAGTATTGTCAGTTTTCCTACTGCAGGTTGGTGGTTCTCTCCAGGCACTCAGGCTTCATCTATCAATAAAAAATGACTGCCACTAAGTACCACAATAGTGCTGAAAGTGGCGTTAAACACCAATCAATCAATCTTGTTTTGTTGTACATACTTATGTCACACAGTCTTGTTTTGTTGAACATGCTTATGTCACACAGTCTTGTTTTGTTGTACATGCTTATGTCACACATTCTTGTTTTGTTGTATATGCTTATGTCACACAGTCTTGTTTTGTTGAACATGCTTATGTCACACAGTCTTGTTTTGTTGTACATACTTATGTCACACAGTCTTGTTTTGTTGTACATGCTTATGTCACACAGTCTTGTTTTGTTGTACATGCTTATGTCACACAGTCTTGTTTTGTTGTACATGCTTATGTCACACAGTCTTATCTTGTGAAGCATTCTCACAGTTTAATTTTATGGAGCATACTTATGTCACATGGTTTTATTTTATAGAGCATTCCTATGACAGAGCAGTAGTGGTTTTTATGACTGATGGCCAGGATACAGCTAACACTAATGAAATGGTCAATAAAAGAAGTGTCAGCTGGAAAAAAAGAATAAATTTATTTAGCCTACCTGTCACTGTTCATACTGTAGGCTTCTCGAAAGGTTTGTTACATCAATTTATTACAAATTATAGGATTTATGAAATACCAATGGGCAAATGATGAGTTTAAGGACTGATAAAATACAAAAAAGACAAGCAATAGTTCATAAAATATAACACATAAACCTTAAAATTAAACTAAATCAAAGACCAGACCTGAGATGAACTATTGTACTCTGGAATGGTTAGCAATTCCAGCTCTACTAGTTTCACATGTCATGTTGCTCATGATAAATAGAAAAATCATGTTTGGTAAATTTAGATAAAAATATGTAAGGCTTTTATTTATTTAGTTACCATGAATACATAAACTCATAAACATTTTCAAGTTTGCAGTAGGCATATTATATGTTATTGAGGATCTTTACAGGAGATATGGGCTCATATTCCCTGTCAGTGTTCTATATCTCCTGGGCCGTCAGGGGAAGAGGATATAGGGCATTGACAGGGAATATAAATCCATATCCCCTGTGAAGCCTGAATAACAATTATATTATACTGGAGTGTCCTGATTTCAATATTAAATACCATTCTGATTTTTGTTTTTGTTCACAGGGTATATGGGCTCATATACTCTGCCAAGGTAAGAAATCAAATTGCAGGAATAACTGTTTCACTCCAATATAATATTACTAGTATTTTATTTATGTGAAAATGAAATGTTATTTTTAGTCAAAGACACCCTTATATAATTAATTATATTAATTGAGTTCATTCACAGATCACAACTTTAAGTTTTTGAAAGATTTGACAGAGGCTGGTGAGGGAACAGGGATGTTTAGGTACTGTGAGCAGAGTGAGGGTCCAGACACATTGACAAAGAAATTACAGGAACTCTTTGATTTTATTGTGCAAGGGTAATGTCATTTAGGAATTGCATGAAATTTATGATGTTATGATAAAGCAGTTGTAATGCCATTTAGAAACTGTAATTATTATGCCTTGTTATAAATACTGTCTAAGTTATGATAACAGTCCTTAAGATTAAAAGATGATGTGGAATATATGTCAATGAGACACTACTCAAAGACAAAAATGACCAAAAGACATCCAGAGGGTAACATTCAACAAGGTGTCCACACATACTGTCAAACTCTTAATCATTCTAAGCAGTATTTTCAACACTTATTTGCATTTGTGATTTAATAAAAAAAAGATATTTATGCTCAATGTATTTTTTTTTTTTTAATCGCTTTAACTTTCTATCATGACTTGTTTCTATATAGTTTTTATGGAAGGTCTTTGGATAATGATAATCAGTACCATGAAATCATTGGCCGGTTCATGCTTAATTTTCAGCTTGGCTTAAGTAAATTTCATGAAAAAAGTGAAGTCATAGAAGCCTAAATTATGATAAAAAATTCTAGAAATGTAAAAAAAAATATATAAACAATTTTATTATAAAGTTTTCAATGCATACATTTTGAAATCGAAAATATTCTGAATATAATTGCAATGGCATGTGTAAATATAGATTCTACCATGCCACTCGGTCAAGTAAGAGCAACTAAAAGAAATAAAATCAAGCTTATACAATCAGTGCAATCTTGGGGAATCATTTACTGTTATGTTTTCTATATACGACAAAATCATCTGAAAACAGTTAATTTTTCCTAAAATTGTACGATTGTGATCTTTATTTTACTTCCTTTAGCTGCTCTTACTTGACTGAGCACCAGAATGTCCTACTACAGAGTAGATAACTTGTTAAAAAAGTCAAAAGTCGGTAATATGAAAATAGTCTATTATTTATTAGAAATTTCAAAGTCTATGACAAATAAGGGTTTTGATACAGACTATGATTCACAGCACATTGAAATGGGATAGTGCGAGCAAGGCATGGTGTCCTGTTGACACAGTTTCCTATTTGATAAGTCTTAATTACCTCAATTGTGTACATAAATTGTACAATTAAGTATTTTTCTTTATAGTTCTATCTTTCAGGTCTGGTCAGCATGTAGATGTTCATCTTTCAATAAATGAAGATAACAAAATAGATGATAATGGCAGAAAAGTACAATCTTGTGTTGTCAAGGCACCTGTTACTAAGGATTTAGATTCAGGTTGGTATTCTTTATTATTTTATAAATTACATTTCCAAATTATGTTAAAACATATCTTTTATATGTAAAATCCTCCTAATACTAAATACTTAAAGATCTCATTAAGATAACATCTATATTGAAACCTTTCTAACACCTTTAACATTGAAGTCTCAAGTTACCAACACGTGACAACTCATGGAATATTTTATAGTGTGTCTTTTTATGTTGTAATTTTACACTACTGTCTCAGGTTAGGGTGAAGGTTGGCACCTGTTAAAACGTTTAAACCCGCTGCATTTTTATGCACCTGTCCTAAGTCAGGAACCTGTTGTTCAGTGGTTGTTGTTTGTTGGTGTGGTTCATAAGTGTTTCTTGTTTTGTATATAGATTAGACAGTTGGTTTTTCTGTTTGAATTGTTTTACACTAGTCATTTTGGGGCCCTTTATAGCTTGCTGTTCGGTGTGAGCCAAGGCTCTGTGTTGAAGGCCGTACTTTGACCTATAATTGTTTACTTTTTATACATTGTGACTTGGTTAGAGAGTTGTCTCATTGGCACTCATACCACATCTTCTTATTTATATAAACTGTCTTGACTGTATCTCTGAATATGGAAGATTAGAAGATATAGAATTATATACTGTCTTGACTGTATCTCTGAATATGGAATATTAGAAGATATAGAATTATAAACTGTCTTGACTGTATCTCTGAATATGGAAGATTAGAAGATATAGAATTATAAGAGACTGAGTCCTCCAATAAGTGGAATATTATGGAATGAGGACAATAGACATAACACAATTGGAAAAAAATATTCCATCTTTTAACTTTTTGGAAATGCATCTGTACCATTTTTGTCAACAAAAAACAATATTCCACTACACCTAGGATTATGTACTGAAACCTCTCAATGAACCATCTATTATAATGCCTGGTTTGACAATGTTTTTAAGTTACAGTTATATAAAACTTTGTATTGTCCAATCACATTTCAAGAGACCTGTACACTCCAAATGACCTCAAGCGTTTCTGAATGCAGAATCTCTTATACTGTAAACTCATAAACTTTTACAAGCATTTATTATTGTAATTGTTGAATGGACATAAATTAAGTATTAAGATTTCAGGAAATACTGTGTACAAATAATATTATTAAAATTCAAAATGCAAGATTTTATTTTTGAGAAACTAATCCAGTATCAATTTTGAAATAACAAAAATATTGCAAAAAAATCAGAATTAACAGTAGTATTCATGGAATTTAAATGGAAATACAGTGTGCCCTTGAAAAACTTCAGAAAGTGAATAGATCAATTTATTATTAAAGTTATCATATTCAAGGTAAAAAAGTATATTTCCCTTTCAGATGAACCTGTGGTAACAGCAACAACATGGATACTAAATCAGACACCATCTGTTTGTCCAACTATCAAAGTTCACATCAGTCATAAACTAAAAGTGGTAAGTACTGATACATGGAATTCTAAATTTACCTCAAAAACTAAGATAAGTGTGTGTCCATCAATCTCTCAAAAGTTATATTTCATAATTTATATTTTAACAAAAATAGAATAAAAATTGTATTGCACCTTTTAACCTTTACCAAGTGTTCATTTTTGGGCTAGGAAACTTGAAATAGGAAAGTTTTATCAGTTTAGTGATGGTTAACTATGCACTATCCATAACATTAGTTTATACCTTTCTAATTTCTACAGAATTCTACTCTGGATGAACTGACATTTGCTTGTGAAGTATGTAACAGTTCTCTGGACGTTTTGACTTCTGTGAAAGATAAATGTATGTGGAGTATTAGGATTTTGTCTAGAAGTACAGATACAATGGCAACAAAACTGTCAGAAATTATAACCAGCGAAGGAGGTAAATTTTGTCTGTTGACTAAGAGCTTAATAAATAAATGAATCTTAAATAAGTAAAGGCATTGTGGAATGCTTTCCAAATGAGTTTTGAGGTTTCCCTTAAGACAGATTTCGACTGACACAATTTAGGCAAGAGTTATTTCCCTTTTTGTTGGAGGACTATGTGGACAAATTCCTTCATAAATCAGCCAAATTCAACTTGTTATACTGACCACTAGACTTTAAAAAAAGTAGTTTTTTTAACATTTTGATTTCTTGTAGCATTCCTTGATTCATCACTACAATTGTGTAAGGATTTCTATTTTGGCTTGTTTGTACAGCAACATGGCCAAGGGAAATAACTCAAACTCAAATTATGTTTGATTTTAAACATATTTTATTCATAAAGATATAAAAAGGATTGAGCAACAGGCACAGCCTATAAAAGCTCTCTCCATATTACATCTACAAGGTATAAATCAAATAATAACTGTATTTAAAATAATACAATATAGTGGAAAATGCATGCTACTTATGAGCACACACAAGCAATATATATTTACAGTGTAAATTACTAAATGTAAAGTATATTTAAGTATGTAGGCAATTAGTCATCTTTATTCAAGTACCTTGAGACATGTAAAAATCTTTTATAAGTCATTAGAAATATATATAAGGTTTGGAAGAGACACTTATCTTACTTATTGGAATATATGAATTAGTGTTGAAGGGTAAAAAGAGGAAAGAAATGAAAAAAAAAATGAATTAATAAATAAATAAACACTAATAAAACAAAAATTAAGAAAATTTCAAACAAAACGGTGAGTGTTACTGATATATTTCTGAACAGATTTAAAAATAGCAATATTCATATCATATGCAAATAATCTGTTTCCAAAAAGTAATAAGTCAATATTTATGTCAACATTATCAAAAATTGAGTAAATAGAATCAATTAAATCTGTCGAACATCATTGTACTTAGACTTAGGGCAAATAAAAAAGAAATGCTGGTTATCCTCAAAAGGGGTGATTACAGTTTCCACAAATAGTGTTCTCTGATAAAAATTGATTAAACAAATGCGATTTTAGGTTGCTAGCATTATTTCTGAGTTGACAATGACTTATATTATGTTTCCTTATCCCATAATTGAAAGGTTATTATGTTGTTTGGAAAGTATCTATAGCAAAACATAGATTTTTCCATATCCACATAAAGGGATTGACATTTTGTATCAGCAACCTCCTCCTAGATTTCAATGAAACTATCACAGCATTTATTTTGAATAGTGCAATTGTATACCGTACCATACACATATATTTACATTTATGGGGTATGAATTTTGCTCATAAAATTTTGAGTTTTGTTGTTGTTTTCTTTTAGTAAGTTACATGTGTATCAAATTTTGCTTAAAGGGAAGTAATATTGGTCTTACCAGTTCAAATGAAGTACCGGTATAAGGGTATTGCAAGAACAACTCTTCAGAAACAGTTTTGTGTATTACACTGTATTGAATTGAAATATAACACAGCTTGAAGGGATGAATACAATATGAGATTTTACACAAATATATGAGGGGAGATAAGTCTTTTAGTAAGGGACTTGGTTGTATTAATTAGTGATGGTGAATAGGATTACGATACAAATGTATGAGGGGAGATAAGTATTGTAGTAAGGGACTTGGTTGTATTAATTAGTGATGGTGAATAGGATTACAATACAAATGTACCTTATGTTTTCATCTTTGTCAATAGATTACTGAATTAAATGATAGTCCTCTCAATTTGGTAGTAGTTAAGAAAAACCAGACATTCTAGAATGAAGGTCTGAACTCTAAACAAGACATTATATATATGAACAAGCACAAATTCGTTTGAAAAAAAAACAAACAAGTGAAATTAAGATTAATGGACAGTGGGAAGGGAGAAATTATATTTTTTATGAATACACATGGACTTGATCTTTAGATGAACTGTCATGTTTTGTATTTCAGATGCTTCTGTGATAGAAAAAAGACTAACAAAGTTACAAGAAAGGTTATCACGAATACCACTGTACGGGAAAGATATCAACAAAAGTCTAAGAGAAGAGATATATAAAATGATGTCAGATATTCAGGGAAAAGTACATAAAATTGTTAAAATACAAATATCTACAATTTGGAGAATTATTTAAATGCTACTGAACCTGTACGCATTTATAGAATATTTGACATTAAACAACATGAAACATGCTTGTAGAAATTCAGGCATACTTGTACAATATTATATTGTGAGAATAAATCCTGCATTTCATGTAAAAAATAAAAAATTGAAATTTGCTTTACAATGACAGAATATTGTAATATTTACTGATTTATATCGACTCATATTATCTCAAACATACATAGTTTTGACTTTTATGTAAACTATACTTACATATTGTAAATAAAAATAAGTTCAAGTTGTCATTACTGCAATTCAATAATTGTTTATTATACCTTTTTCAGATAAACAAAATGTTTACATTGATAGCAGAGTTTGCTAGAAAGGAAACCCAATCAGTTGGGATGTTGGCAAGAGCACATGATATGAGGTACCAAGCTCAAGTATGTAGACCATGTTTTCATAGATTCTGATTCTAAGATATTGCCTTCATTTAACTATGATTGATCCTTTTGATATTTTGTACAAATTTTTATTATGACAATAGTCCTTTGATCCATCTCTTTAAGATTAAGGAAATTTAAATTTCTACAAGGTATTTTTTACAGATAAACTTTTTCTTAAAAAATATGGAATAAAAGGCAGGAAAATACTAAAAATAAGTTGTGTGTAGATATGATACCTCTATAGTTTAGTTCTCCATAATCTATCGATATTGATCCTTATGTTTTCTGCTGATGGGTAATGTTTAGATACCAAATAGCACTAGAATAATGATATGGTGTAAGTCACAGCATGCGTTTAAGTCAGATTCTAATACAAAACATTTCAAATCTTTAAATGGAAAGAAACAGCAAGTGTTTTAATATTAATGAACATAGTTGTTAATTTCTGTTTCATTTGGTCTCTTGTGGAGAGTTGTCTCCTGACAATCATACCACATCTTCTTAAATTTATAAAGTTGTAGAAGCTTTGCTATTATTGGGGAAAACATATAATTTTATTAAAAATCATGTCTATTGTCTTTCCACTGGTTTCAAAGTATTTTTTATAAATTTTCAACAAATTACATAAAGCCTTCAGGAGTTAGACTAACATTTGGAAGTCTCTATAAAATAAATACTTTGTAAGTGTTTTTTTTTTTCATTTTGACATGGTCCCTTGCATTCAGAAAAATCATTATTTGGAAAATATCTTTTCTTTTGTTGTCCCAAAATTAATTCAGATTGTTAATCAGACATGTTTAAGCTGGATAACAATATTATTTTGATCAGTTTTCCAAGTCAAGAAGACATAGGTTAATGGATCGTAGAGCCACAAAGAATTTGTCATCTGCCAAAACAGCACAAGAAGAGCTAACAGCACTACAGATAGATGTAGAGGATTTAAAAAGCATCCACCAGGAAACATGTGACTTTTTCTTTTGTGTACTGTCTCAGAACTCTATAAAGGATGTATTAATAGACAGTGATCCAGATGATTTGATAGGCTTTGGTTTGACTGTCAAAAGAACTGAAGTCATCTTAGATGAACCTTCACTAGTGAGTATATATATACAGTCAAACCTGTATTAAATTGTCACTCATGATAAGTATACACCTTATCGCTATTTGTCCGCCATTACTGGACATCACACAGGTTCCGTAAAATTTTGACGTCATAATACAAAATATCTGACGCCACAATGGAAAAGTGATTGTTGTATGACGTCAATAGTTCAAGCGGGACAGATTCTCGGGTCAGCCGGGAATAGCGATAAGGTGTATTAAAAGTGATCACTCAAGAGAGGTGACGATTTTAAAGAGGTTCCAAAAAAATTCTGGCCGTGGCCTGGATTGCAGCAAATGGTTTTAGTATTTTCAATCTGTAGAGTTAGTGTTCTTGGAGCAGTGAAATAAAAAATGGCAGATTCTGGCAATGGTTATTGGAAAAAAATCTTGAAATTTGTTAATATTTTTTGAGAAATAAGTTTTCAATGGAAACTGAAAGCAGTAGAACACAAGGAATTCACAAATTCACATTATATTGCAGGATCTCAGTTGCAAATGGGTTCTGATGCTCATTTAAACTTCCATTCTGAACAGATATATTTTTTGTCATGATTATATTGGTAGTTCAAAACATTAAAATGACCGTTGTAAAAAGTTGAAAATTAGGTGACTGCTGACCGTGTTAGACAGGTGACCGCTAGTTGTTTTTTTTTGCATATATTTTTGTCTGTTTCATTTGAATGGAGATTTTACAAGTGCGTGCAGGGTTTTCAGAATAAGAATTAAACTGTTAAGCAAATGTCATATCCGCCATCTTTCATTTGGGAATAAATAGCATTTGACTTGGTGAAAGCACTTCAAAAACTTTGTGGTGGTTTTTACTTCTGACAGGTAAATTTATTTATATTGACAAAGTTAAAAGCAAGACTTAGGTATGCTTATTCCGACAGGGGTGGCAAAGGCGGCAACAGCAGCGTCAACAATGTATTAGTTTGTGATTACGTCAGTTTATGGGAAGCCATTAGTGGTAGGTCAAATATATGTGGATGCAGTTGTATTACCATTAGCACATCTTATTTCCAAAGAGATTATTTGGCCCTGCTCCCTCAGTCATGGTCTATTGACTTTGAAACTTTTGCATACTTCACCTGTATTAGTTTGTGATTAGGTCAGTTTAAGAGGAACTACTAGTGGTAGGTCAATGATATTTGGTATGTAGATGCATTACCATTGGCACACATCATTTCCATAGAGATTATTCATCCCCGCCCACTCAGTCATGGTCTATTGACTGAAACTTTTGCTTACTTTACATGTATTAGTTTGTGATTAGGTCACTTTAAGGGGAACCATTAGTGGTAGGTCAATGATATATTGTATGTAGATGCATAATGGCACATCTCATTTCCATGGAAATTATTTGGCTCTGCCCCCTCAGTCAGGGTCTCTTGACTTTGAATGTTTTGCATAGTTTGCAAGTTAAGATTGTGATAAGATCAGTTTAAGAGGAACCAATAATGAGGCCCCTCATGGGGGTGTCCAAGTAATCACATAATCACATAATCACAAATTTTTTGCCAATATAATCACATAATCATTAACAATTTTTTCAAACAAGATAATCAAATAATCAAAAATACAGTCCTAGATTATCAAATAATCAAATAATCATGAAATATTTGGTCTGGTAATCAAATAATCACTATAAAAACGGCAAAGTAATCACATAATCAAAAACTTCATGAGGAGACTCAATAATTTTAGGTCAATGATATTTGTTATGCAATTGCATTAGCATTTGCAAAGTCTCTTTTCCAAGGTGACTATATGGCTCCACCCCCTCAGCATGTGTTTATATTATTGTAAAGGGAACCACTTAAAAGGAATGGTTTTTGGTATGCAGTTTTAAAAGCATTGGCATTTTTCATTTCCATTTGGTTATTTGGTTCTGCACCATAAGTCATGGTTCATTGACTCTGAATGTTTTGCATAGTTAACATGTTTAAATATTGCCATTTGGATTCAATATTTGCATTATGCTATAAAATTACGAAAAGGCGAGACATATCTCTGTGTCAACAGTTTATTTATTTAATTGTCATCCATTGTGTTAGGCCAAAAAAAAATTATGTATAAATTTCAAATTATTCATTCAAAATAATGATTTTTTTGATAGACTTTTATTGACTTGAATTGTTCTTCAGACAAATTTTCTTAAGAAATGATGTTTAAGGATAGTATTTTATAAGGGACATTACTTTCCTTGTATGACACCCTGTATTTGTTGGTGCAGATTTGGATACACAATATCAGTGGTACCGTTGTTAGTAAGACTGCTATGATGGATGCCCTGGAATTTAAGTTAAAAGTAGATGGGCAGTTACAAGCCCATGGAGGTTTCAACTTTGACCTAGGAGTTACAACAGTAGGACTTGGTAGAGAGTCAATCAATGCTTGGTTACCTTTGTATGTAAATCAGACACATTGGCAGAAAGTAAAGGTATTATGCTTATTATAAATCTGTCATTATATCTGCCCGTAGTTTCACATCAACTTTGTTCAAAACCGCTATGAAATCAATGAATTAGTGTAGGGATTTATTTACCTTCCCAAGAATCCAAAATTTCAAATAACAATAAAGAAATTCTGCACACATGTGTTTCCAGTAGTTAAGTATGCCAGGACATTCATTTTTCATTGGCTCATTCAAATGTTCAGTCTGTAAGCTTATTAAGCATTATAACTCTTCAAACTTTGGATTGTGTATTGGTACTAAAATTATTTCATTTAATTTAATCTCATTTACTGGAATCTTATAGAATTAAGGTCAAGTTTCTGCCGTAAAGCTTCACTATTGTCAGAGAAATTAGTTGTATTATTATTTAAGGAGTTAAGCTTCTGGAAAACGTAAGACAATCAGTTGAAGTTATATACTTCTGAAGAAAAAGAATGTATCAGTTATCATTTATATTACTTGACTAAAAGTATTTTGCTCTCTCTATTGAAATAAAATTACTTAATTGAATCTTGTTTCATCAAACCACTTTGTTCAATTAAAATTTGAAAAGTTTGATACAAAAGACTGCCATTAGAAGAAAATGCTGACAGTTTAGTCATAGTAATAAATGTGACACTTGTTTTTTTTTTATAAGAAATCAATACTATTACATTTCAGATACTGCTAAAACCAGTACTTGGATTTTTATGTACATTAGATCCTTTAGGATATGATTACAAACAGATAGATGTGATGTTCATGACACTTGGTAGCATGGTCAGTCAACTGTCAGATGTACAAGAACATCAGCTTAAGATGATCTTTATCTACCAAAGAACCTGTCAAGGTATGTATAGATGACCATGTGACCTGGTCTAATGTTTGGTAAGTCAACTGTCAGATCTACAAGAACATCAGCTTAAGATGATCTCTGTCTACCAAAGAACCTGCCGAGGTATGTATAGATGACCATGTGACCTGGTCTAATGCTAGGTAAGTCAACTGTCAGATCTAATGTTTGGTATGTCAACTGTCAGATGTACAAGAACATCAGCTTAAGATGATCTCTGTCTACCAAAGAACCTGCCGAGGTATGTATAGATGACCATGTGACCTGGTCTAATGTTTGGTAAGTCAACTGTCAGATCTACAAGAACATCAGCTTAAGATGATCTCTGTCTACCAAAGAACCTGCCGAGGTATGTATAGATGACCATGTGACCTGGTCTAATTCTAGGTAAGTCAACTGCCAGATCTAATGTTTGGTATGTCAACTGTCAGATGTACAAGAACATCAGCTTAAGATGATCTCTGTCTACCAAAGAACCTGCCGAGGTATGTATAGATGACCATGTGACCTGGTCTAATGCTAGGTAAGTCAACTGTCAGATCTAATGTTTGGTATGTCAACTGTCAGATGTACAAGAACATCAGCTTAAGATGATCTTTATCTACCAAAGAACCTGCCGAGGTATGTATAGATGACAATGTGACTAGGTCTAATGTTTGGTCAGTCAACTGTCAGATCTACAAGAACATCAGCTTAAGACGATCTCTGTCCACCAAAGAACCTGCCGAGGTATGTATAGATGACAATGTGACTAGGTCTAATGTTTGGTCAGTCAACTGTCAGATCTACAAGAACATCAGCTTAAGACGATCTCTGTCCACCAAAGAACCTGCCGAGGTATGTATAGATGACAATGTGACTAGGTCTAATGTTTGGTCAGTCAACTGTCAGATCTACAAGAACATCAGCTTAAGACGATCTCTGTCCACCAAAGAACCTGCCGAGGTATGTATAGATGACAATGTGACTAGGTCTAATGTTTGGTCAGTCAACTGTCAGATGTACAAGAACATCAGCTTAAGACGATCTCTGTCCACCAAAGAACCTGCCGAGGTATGTATAGATGACAATGTGACTAGGTCTAATGTTTGGTCAGTCAACTGTCAGATGTACAAGAACATCAGCTTAAGACGATCTCTGTCCACCAAAGAACCTGCCGAGGTATGTATAGATGACAATGTGACTAGGTCTAATGTTTGGTCAGTCAACTGTCAGATCTACAAGAACATCAGCTTAAGACGATCTCTGTCCACCAAAGAACCTGCCGAGGTATGTATAGATGACAATGTGACTAGGTCTAATGTTTGGTCAGTCAACTGTCAGATCTACAAAAACATCAGCTTAAGACGATCTCTGTCCACCAAAGAACCTGCCGAGGTATGTATAGATGACAATGTGACTAGGTCTAATGTTTGGTCAGTCAACTGTCAGATCTACAAGAACATCAGCTTAAGAAGATCTCTGTCCACCAAAGAACCTGCCGAGGTATGTATAGATGACAATGTGACTAGGTCTAATGTTTGGTCAGTCAACTGTCAGATCTACAAGAACATCAGCTTAAGACGATCTCTGTCCACCAAAGAACCTGCCGAGGTATGTATAGATGACAATGTGACTAGGTCTAATGTTTGGTCAGTCAACTGTCAGATCTACAAGAACATCAGCTTAAGACGATCTCTGTCCACCAAAGAACCTGCCATGGTAATGTTCAGAAGACCATGTAACTGGGTCTAATACTAGGTAAGTCAACTGTCAGATCTACAAGAACATCAGCTTAAGATGATCTTTATCTACCAAAGAACCTGCCGAGGTATGTATAGATAACCATGTGGCAGGGTCTAATGCTTTACAAATGAGACTGAGAAAAAGTGAATATTCAACAAGATAGATTGTTATATTATGTCTTCAAGTATCAACAGTAACCACAGATTATGACTAAAGTTAGGAATATCTTATTTTATTTTTCGGAATTGACAAGATAGAAGTGCTATGTGAAAAAGTTTTTGCACTGATTTATTTAATTGCTATTGTGAATTTCAGCGTGCCTGGTGGACTTTGATTTGGTTGAACAAGTGACCACTGTAATGACTAACTTTATAGCATCACCTGCAGGGAGAACTAAAGATGTAATACCAAATCTACTGACATTGATTGGTTATCTATTATCTCTACCAAAAGATAGACTCAAGTTCATCCTCCAGATGGATGGTAGGTTATTATAACTTCAAATTTGTTTTTACATTATTTTGGTAATTTTAATTATGCTCCGCCTCCATTAGTAGGAAGGCATTCTATTTTCTGGTCTATGTATAAATAAGAAGATGTGGTATGAGTGCAAATGAGACAACTATTCTTCCAAGTCACAATGTGTAAAAAGTAAACAGTTACAGGTTAAAGTACGGCCTTCAACACAGAGCCTTAACTCACACCGAACAGCAAGCTATGAAGGGCCTATGTGTCTATTCTTCTGTCTCGTATTAGGTTAAAGTTTTTGGTTTAAGTTAGTCAATAATGAAGTTATTGTCACATAAAATTAAAACTATGTACACATTTTCATTATGATATACATTTTTGAATTACATGCAAAATTAGACTTTTGACCCTGATTCCACGGTTAACCTACCATGGAAATGTGACAATGAGAAATTAGTTCATTTTTAGGTAAAGTTATTTTTTAAGGTAGTTAACCATGAAGTTGTGGTCACATCAATTTGAAACTTAGAACAAATGATCACTATGATGTTAACTTTTAAAATTATATGCCAAATAATGGTATTATCACAATTTCACAGTTCACTGACTATAGAAATGCGATGGTGGAAAATCAGAGAAGGTAGGAGGGATGTGAACAAGTAATTATGGTATTGTATCTACCTTTGCCTGAATGACCAAACTAGGTGTCAGTTGCTGCAAACATTACCTTTCAAAACTCTTATTATCAACCTTGAAAAGTAATTAAATTTTCAGTCAGTCAGTCAGTGCAAAGCCTGTAAAACATGATGATTAAAGAGGGGTGGAAGGACCTTTTTCCAGGCTTCTTCATTAGAGCCTTTATTTTTGCAGGAATTTGGGATTTACACTTATTTGGACTACTGAATTAGTAATTAATCTTCAGGATCTGGGAAAGATTGCATTTATTTTTGGGAATTCATGATTTACAGTTTATTTTCTCCTGGAATTCAGGATGACACCCCTTCTACCCCCACCCCAAACATTGAATGATTGCTTGTAGACTTGAAGTAGGCAAAGAAACATCCTTCAATATCAATTTTTGTTTTTAGGAAAGCCTGTGCAGTATAATATGGACAGATTTTGGCTAGCATTTACAACAGAATTGTTAAGAAGAGCTGGAGGCAACGTGTTCAAAGACTCAAAAACTAATGTTGTTTACAGTTATATTGATTCATTGGTTAATGGTAAATTGATATTAGAAACCTTAATGAATAGGTCAAAGTTATACTGGAAATACCACAAAAAAGCTTAAATAGTATAGATTCATTTATTTTCGTGGATTGAGAACAAATTGTATTTTCAGGGACATTCGATTTTTTGGTTTTGCATACAAAGCCTTACAAAAGTAGTACTTCGTTGAACATTTATCTGTTGTAGTTAAATTGGTAATTGTTAATATTTATTAAGTTTGTGGTTCATATATATTAACTAAATGCACAGAAATTGATATCCCACAAAAGATAATTAATCCTCAGTACATCAATTGAAGACAGAAAACAAGAATTATCAACAATGCAAACAAATTTCACTTGTGATTTGACTCCTTTACGACCATTATATACAGACCAGTTCAACATTAAAAGCAAAATTTGGAATACTAGCCCTATTTTGTCAGAGAAAGTTAACTTTAAGAAAGGATTGATAACCATTGTGAAAAATAGGAGGAAAATGATTTATTATGATATACAAGATTTGCATAGATTTGATAGACTATAATTTGTAAGAAAGAAGAGTATTAAAGAGACATTATTGAAGTCGTCACCTAAAACAGATAAGCTCATTCACACAAAAGATCTGTGATAACTTGCGGATTATAGAATACTGTAAGTTCTAGAATCATTTACAAGCATTTTCAACTATATTTGATGATGGAGTTCCCATAGACGTTTTCAACAAGTGAAAAAAGTTTTTTTTCTTAATTCCCGGTGATGAAAAGAGGGATGCGGACAATATACCAGTGGAGACTTTACAAGGCCGATTACGGTACTAGGTTTTTCTGATTAATTAACTTGTGTATTTGAAATGTCTATATTTTTCTGATGAAATAACTTATGTATTTCTAGGATTTTCTGATGACAAAACATGCTGTGATGAACCAGAATCTTCTTTCAAACAAATTTTTAAAAAAAAATTCGACCAGAAGGAAGAAATAGTTCCTACAGAATTTGACATAAAGAGTGGCCTCCCTTTACAACCACCTGCTCCAATACATTCAGTAAAATATGACAAGGCGATGGATATATGGGCCCAGTCTAAATGTGGTTTAATTCGGGTATGATGTATTCCATTAATCTTGTATATTCATTACTGATAACCACAGGTCAGTGAATCTTGTTGATAGCCTTTGTATAAAAATAAGAAGATGTGGTATCATTGCCAATGAAACAACTCTTAACCAGAAACCAATTGATGTAGAAGTAAGCAACTATGGGTCACCATAGGGCCTTCAACAATGAGCAAAATCCATACCCAAGCAAGCTATTGAAGGCCACTAGAAACTAACAGGCTCAGTTATGTTCAAAACAATAAAAGAAAAAGAAATATGATATACAGCAATAAACGACAACCACTGAATTACAGGTTCCTGACTTGGGACAGGCACATACAGAATGCAGTGGGGTTAAGCATATTGAAGTCGCCCAACCATCCACTTGCAGAAACTACTGTTTGCTTTTTTTTTTAAGTCTTTATTCTAAAGGAAAATATAATTTTAGTTTTCTGCTTTTACATCAGCTTTGGCATTTTAAAATTTATTGCAGTGCAGCAATTTTGCCTATTAAAAAAGATTGTATTTGAACTGAGTTATATTTCCAATCAAAATATGGAAATTTTGCTTTTGAAAATCAAACTTGACAGTTGATTGGGACTGGAAGTAATTTACAGTTTTCAAAATACAAAGTTTTACTCAACATTACCGGTATTTATTTTATTGATTGGCCAAATATAGTTCTCTTTGTTTAGTATGATGGTACAGTCAATAATTTCTTACTGAGTGAATTAGTTCTGTTTAGAATTTTGAATAAAGCTTGACTTTGAAAATGACAAAATATTTATATGAAACTGAAAACTTACTAGACAAAGGTATAGTTACTGGTTTCATTATTTATATTCAGAATAAGAACCAGGCAGAAAAAGTGAGCCAAGCAACTAAACTAGTAAATGAATGGATAAAAGAAGGGCAAAAACTAACGGCAGAACAAACTGACTCTATTAGATTAGAAGAAGATAAAGCTGAGTCAGATAATATTACAGTTTCCATTCTGAGACTGCTTGTTCAGGTAATGTGCTGGTGCAGATAATTTTACAATATCTTGATTTACTGTTCAATTCAGTGATTTTTATTACTTCTTATTCTTATGTAAGTTTAAAACTTATTAAAAGTTATTAATTCAAGTATTTTTTATATCTTGATAGAATGATAAATATTATTTTTTACCTGTTTGAAGTCTCCTTCTTTTATCTTTTGAATGAATGAAAAAGACACCTATTTCATAAATAATTTCTCTGTTCTGACAGGAGTGTATAAATTTAGAAATGAAACTATTTGAATGTTCATACTGTAAACCAAATAATTTTCATGGATACTTTGTTTGGCATTTACCCCTTTTTATTATACGACCGCAAAAATTAAAAATTTTTTGGTCGTATATTGGTATGACGTTGGCGTCGTCATCGTCGTCGTCTGGCGTCGTCCGAAGACACATTGGTTTTCGCACTCTAACTTTAGTTTAAGTGAATGGATCTCCATGAATTTTACCATAAGGTTCAATACCACGAAAGGAAGGTTGGGATTGATTTTGGGGGTTATGGTACCAACAGTTAAGGAATTAGGGGCCAAAAAGGGGCCAAAAATAAGCATTTTTGTAACTTCCAGACAATAACTTGTGTGTAAGTGTATGGATCTCTCTGACATTGTACCACAAGGTTCCATATCACAAAGGGAAGGCTGTAATTGATTTTGGGGGTAATTGCCTCAAAATTTTAGGAATTGGGGGCCAAAAAAGGGGCAAAAAACAAGCATTTTTCTAGTTTCCAGACAATAACTTGTGTGTAAGTGTTTGGATATTTCTGAAATTGTACTACAAGGTTCCATATCACAAAGGGAAAGCTGGAATTGAGTTTGGGGGTAATTGCCCGAAACGTTTAGGAATTGGGGGGCCAAAAACGGGCCAAAAATAAGCATTTTTCTAGTTTCCAGACAATAACTTGTGTTCAAGTGTATGGATCTCTCTGAAATTGTACTGCAAGGTACCATACCACAAAGGGAAGGCTGGTATTGAGTTTGGGGGTAATGAATCATAAGGGGGTTCAAAAAATTTGGGAGGGGGGATTTTTTGTTTTTGTTTTTGTTTTTTTTTTTCCTTTTTTTTTTCTTTTAAAATTTTCCATTTTAAGTTGGTTATTTCTGATTAATATTTAAAAGCAAATAATAATGATATGGTAGGAGATACACACCAAACAGGATGTGTAAATTATTATATAATAAGTATTGTGCAATAGCAAGAAATTTTCAGTTGCACAGTATTGCACAATAGCAAGAAATCTTCAATTGCACAGTATTGCGCAATAGCAAGAAATCTTCAATTGCACAGTATTGCGCAATAGCAAGAAATATCCAATAGCACAATATTGCGCAATAGCAAGAAATTGTCAATTGTACAGTATTGCGCAATAGCAAGAAATATTCAATTGCACAGTATTGTGCAAAAGAAGATACTTCGTATAAATTGCTTATTTCTTGATCAATTTCAATGGGGTTTTATTCTTGAATTCTTGGGGTTCTTTAATATGCTGAATCTAACCGTGTATTAAGTTTTTGGATTTTGGGCCCCATTTTTAAATTGGTCCACATTGAGGTCCAAAGGGTCCAAAATTTAACTTTGTTTGATTTCATCAAAAATTGAATTATTGGGGTTCTTTGATATGCCGAATCTAACCGTGTATTTAGATTCTTAATTTTTGGTTCCGTTTTCAAATTGGTCTACATTAAGGTCCAAAGGGTCCAAAATTAAACTTAGTTTTATTTTAACAAAAATTGAATTTTTAGGGTTCTTTGATATGCTGAATCTAAACATGTATTTAGATTTTTGATTATGGGCCCAGTTTTCAAGTTGGTCCAAATCAGGGTCCAAAATTAAACTTTGTTTGATTTCAACAAAAATTGAATATATGGGGTTCTTTGATATGCTGAATCTAACCATGTTTTTAGATTTTTGATTTTTGGGCCCCGTTATCAACTTTGTCCACATTGAGGTCAAAAGGGTCCAAAATTAAACTTTGTTTGATTTCATCAAAAATTGAATTCTTGGGGTTCTTTGATATGCTGAATCTAACCATGTATTTAGATTTTGGATATTGGACCATAATAGGTGAATGTCCAATTTAAAATTTTTAAGTTCTTAGACCACATTCATTCTGTGTCAGAAACCTATGCTGTGTCAAATATTTAATCACAATCCAAATTCAGAGCTGTATCAAGCTTGAATGTTGTGTCCATACTTGCCCCAACTGTTCAGGGTTCGACCTCTGCGGTCGTATCAAGCTGCGCCCTGCGGAGCATTTTATTCTACTTTGCAATCTTCTAATTTTACTGATGTATTTATATAAGAGAAGATCCAAGTTTAACATATTCATGTCTATTTATATTCATGTTATTTTTATACTTGTTGTGAAAATAAATTGCTCGCAAAAAATTATTTGGTTAACAGCATTTAACATGAAAAACCTAATGAACCATCTATTATAAATATAATTTTTTTTTAGGTATATGGAAAGTTAGGCAATGCAGCATACCCCAGATTATCTTGCATTCCAGGATGTATGGGCTTTGTAAGTTACTGGCTTGGAGACCGGGACATCATTGAAATAGACCAGAATGGCGGACTACCTCCAGTAGCTTGGTTAGAAGGTGCTAAGCAATCTGTATCAGAAATGTACCAATGTATTGAAGGTATGCACATAACATACACATTTATATACTTATATTTAATACACAGGTAAGTTTTGTTGTCTATCAAATATAACACACTGAAAACAAGATGAAAACTTCCTTGTAAAAGTTAAAAATTATGTGTCCTATCAGACATCACAAGGTAAAAAGAAATAGAGAATCTTATAGCAACAATGCTATAGAGAATCTTATAACAGCAATGCTTTAGAGAATCTTATAACAGCATTGCTTAAGAGAATCTTATAACAGCATTGCTTTAGAGAATCTTATAACAGCAAAGCTTTAGAGAATCTTATAACAACAATGCTTTATAGAATCTTATAACAGCAATGCTTTATAGAATCTTATAACAGCATTGCTTTAGAGAATCTTATAACAGCAAAGCTTTAGAGAATCTTATAACAGCAATGCTTTAGAGAATCTTATAACAACAATGCTTTAGAGAATCTTATAACAACAATGCTTTAGAGAATCTTATAACAGCAATGCTTTAGAGAATCTTATAACAACAATGCTTTAGAGAATCTTATAACAACAATGCTTTAGAGAATCTTATAACAACAATGCTTTAGAGAATCTTATAACAACAATGCTTTACAGAATCTTATAACAGCAATGCTTTACAGAATCTTATAACAACAATGCTTTAGAGAATCTTATAACAACAATGCTTTAGAGAATCTTATAACAACAATGCTTTACAGAATCTTATAACAACAATGCTTTACAGAATCTTATAACAACAATGCTTTATAGAATCTTATAACAGCATTGCTTTAGAGAATCTTATAACAGCAAAGCTTTAGAGAATCTTATAACAGCAATGCTTTAGAGAATCTTATAACAACAATGCTTTAGAGTTCTAATCTTATAACAACAATGCTTTACAGAATCTTATAACAACAATGCTTTACAGAATCTTATAACAACAATGCTTTACAGAATCTTATAACAACAATGCTTTAGAGATTGCTGAAGTAATATAATAAGATCCATATGTTACAGTGACTAGGGCATTATTATCAGGATTCATATATACAATACTGAAAATCACATTTAGGAACAAATAGGGAAGTGATAATACACGTCCTAGGCACTGAAAATGTTGACAAGGTATTGGTTCACTCCTGTCTATAAAAGTGAAAAGATGTAGAAACATAAAATACACTGTGTCAGAGTATTGCGTTTAAAAAAACAATGTAGTGTTTAAGATGAAATGATATGAAAAATGAGATGTGAAAAAAAAACATAAATGAAACAAAAACGGAACAACTTATGTCTAGAAAAATAGGCATCTGTTAGGATAAAATAAACACTTTATCTCATGTAAGAAATACTCTTTCATTTTGTTATCTGTGATTTATACACATTTTGATGTTTGCCAACACTTCTTTGTTAAGTAGAATTTCTAGTGGAATATATGCTACATGTATTTTGTTTCATGTCAGAGGACAACCTTGAAGATGTTTTCGTGGTTGATGAAATTTCTCAAGATACAGTCCTTACAGCAGCTGCTGGTACAGACATTGTTGAAAATGTACAGAGAAATGCTGTAGACAGTGTACTGACAGGAAAAGATAACTCTAATGATAGTGATGATGATGATGATGACGATTTTGAGTATGGTGTACCTGATTATGATGATAATGATGTAGACTATGTCAGTTCATCTGAAATAGCCAAAAAGAAAAACAGGAATATAAATATAACATCAGTCCTTAAACTCCTGGATAGGGATGTAGACATTATTGAAATGTCAAGAATCTTAGTCTGTCAGATCCTACAGTATCATAGCAACAGTAAAGCAAGAACAGCCATACAAAATGGTGACTTTGTGGATCTAAGTGTCACAGGTATTAAATGCTCATTTTAGGTACTCTGTTGTCTTTTTTAAAAGATGGCAAGCTTGACATTAGATATACTTGTGATTTGTTATAAATTTTCTGATGTAAACATCAATGAACAGCATTCTAATGTTCCCTGTCAATGAACAGCATTCCAATGTTTCCTATCAATGCACATATTTTATCTGTCTAAAGGCAATAACTCAATAAGTTTGTTTAGGGTTCTTTTAAATTTTTTTTTCTGTAATTCCCTACGAGAAATGTAGGCGTGAGACCCATTACAATGCAATTTTCTTTATAATTCCTATTTTCATGGGGCATATCTAGTAAAAATAGTTGATGGGATCTAATTATTGAACTCTTCCAAGACCTTGCTGATGTAAACCTTTGATATAAAGGAGAAAGTATGTAAGGCCACTTTTTTGGCCGCTAGAATTCGAAAATCTAAAATTATTATAAAATCTATCAAATAACATCCTTCAGATGTTCATAAGACATACGTCTGTCAGACATCTGTATTCATCTTTTTGAATTTTGCCTTGCATATTTGCATTATTACTTTAAACTTCTTAAATCACCTAAAATAGCTAAAAAATGCAAAAATAGATTCATTTTTCATTTTGAGAACTTGTCATTTATTTTTTAGAGCAACAGCTTTACTCCAAAAGATGTATTGCTACTCAATCATTTTAACAAGATGTAAATGTGTTTCAAATACTCTTTGGATAAAGCTGTTGCTCTAAAAAATAAATGACAAGTTCTCGTCTGTCTGTCCGGCGTAAACATGTCGCACCGTAACTTGAGAATGACTTATCCAATTTACTATTTTATACGCCCGTCAAATTTTTGACGGGACATATTATGGTATACAAATGTCCGGCGTCCGTCCGTCTGTCTGTCCGTCCATCTGTCTGTCTGTCTGTCCGTCTGTCTGTCTGTCTGTCTGTCCGGCATAAACATGTCGCACCGTAACTTGAGAATGACTTATCCAAATTTCATGAAACTTAACATAGTTGTTTCTTATGATGGTCAAACGATCTGTATACTTTTTGGTGAAAATAAGATTAAAACTTTTTGAGTTACAGGACTTAGTAACTAAAACAGGTGTGTGTTTTTTTTCACATGTCACCCGTATCTCAAAAACAATTTATGATTATTGCTTAAAACTTTACACACTTCTTAGTTATATTAATCTTAAGATCTTTATACTTTTTGGTGATGATTCAAAATTTTATTTTAGAGATATTGAGTATTTTGTTAAAAAAGGGTGAGGGGTTTTTCACATGTCGCGCCGTATCTCAAAAACAGTTTATGATTATTGCTTAAAACTTTACACACTTCTTAGTTATATTAACCTTAAGATCTGTATACTTTTTGGTGATGATTCAAAATTTTATTTTTGAGTTATTGAGTATTTTGTAAAAAAAGGGGGAGGGGTTTTTCACATGTCGCGCCGTATCTCAAAAACTATTTATGATTATTGCTTAAAATTTTACACACTTCTTAGTTATATTAATCTAAAGATTGTATACTTTTTGGTTTTGATTCAAAATTTTATTTTTGAGATATTGATTTTTTTTTTTTTTAAAAGGGGGGGTTTTCACATGTCGTGCCGTATCTCAAAAACGATTTATGATTATTGCTTAAAATTTTACACACTTCTTAGTTATATTAATCTAAAGATCTGTATACTTTTTGGTTTTGATTCAAAATTTTATTTTAGAGATATTGAGTTTTTTGTAAAAAAAAAAGGGGGTTTTCGCATGTCACGCCGTATGTCAGAAACTATTTATGCTTATTGCATAAAAATTCACTCACAAGACGACGGGTGTATCATGCGCTCATGTCGCAGCTGTTTATTGCAATTTAAGGGACCAATAATTATCTCATATCATACCTCCTCCTTTTATAAAAATCCAATGAGATGTGTAGGTGTTTGAGTACAATCATCAATGTAAGTTACATTTCAAAGGGATTTAATTTTGCTTTTCCAATTCCCCCACTGATGTAAAAGTTTAAGTTAAAGGACAGGGGCTTGTCTATCGAAGCTATCCTAGGATTTGTCCTAAGACTTCTCTTAGGAAGAAATTAGGATAAAGTTAAGACCCACTTACGACATGTCTCAGCATGCACACCGAAGCTATCTTAGGACTATCAGCTAGGATAACCGCTGTCTTAAGTGTTAGCATAAAGAAAAATAGGAATTTAGAAATTTTAAGAATGCATTGAATTCATCATTAGTAAAAAATTACAAGATTAAAAATTGAAAACATTATTAGTATTATCATAAAGAAAAAAGAAATATTTATCTAAATAATGGTACATTCAAACTTTATGAAACAAAATTAAAAACACAAAAAATGTGACAACGTTTTATATAATAATTGAAAAAAATGTTTGTGAACACCAATTACAGTGAAAACTAATAAATGACAATCGGAAACAATCATTATATATTTTTGAGTGAGTTTAATTCGAAGTATCACGGTTTTATACTTTACAGAGTTCAAAGGCAAATCTCGTGCATCAAAGCAAATATTCTTAATATTTTAGCCTATGTACATTTATTTTATGTGTTTCATACATACACGATGCCCCTCTATTCTTATTTTCCACGTGGAGTGTAGTCATACATATACTTCTGTTTTATGTTATATCTGTTGGATAAGAGCAAGAACACATTAAATAAGTGAAATCAGAAAAATATTTAGAAAAAAGAGGGATCCATATATAGGAGGCAATTGTATTCATTTACAAATTAACCATTATAAAATATATCCTAAAGTAAGGACCATCCTAAGACCATCTTAAGACACCTATTGAGGTGTCCTTAAGTTAGGACGGTTCCTACGACTTTGCCTAAGTTACGACATGTTTGACTAGGACTAAGATATGATCTTAGGACATGTCTTAGTCCTAAGAGCGCTTTGATAAACAGGCCCCAGGATGTGAGAATGGTCTTATTTTGTGTAATTTTTTATTTAATTTGAAATTTGATTTTAGATTTTATTTATATCTGTTTTAAAGTTTAGTAAATGCAAAATTAATAAAGAGAGTAGTTTTTAATTCATGAGTCATTATAAATGCAGTTGTGACATCACATTGAAGGTAATTTATGCTTTTTAGTGGAAAATGCATATATTTTGGTGCTTTTTCAATTAGTCTTTGGACCAGAAAATGTAGAGCTCATGCAAGTACCAACTAAATAATATAGCACAGTGTTTGTCTATATGAACAATACCTTTCATGTTAATCATTTTGTGGCACTTGCATGTGCTCAATATTTCCCACATACAAATATGTGTGAAAATATGATTTTAAAGTTTGACATATTTTTGTAGAACATTTGTAATTTGTTAACTATAGACTGTGAATATTCATAATAGGTAAAGGATCTTGCAAATTAAAATTTGCACATACTTGACAATTATCTGTAAGCTTAAATCTCCTTATTTTTTTTTTATTCCTCAGAAACATTGGTGATATAAACCTGTAATATGAATTTCATAAGAATCTGTGATGAATTGTATAAGAGCACTTTCAAGAACAGATTGATGCAGACATTCTGAGTGGCATATTTCTTTGTTCCTCTTACCAGCAGGGATAGAATCATTTCTTATTCACAAGTTTCAACTTTAAACAAACTCAATATAATTGAAAAGGTTCTTACATTCATAGAAATCAGAAATGGTTTTCAATTTTTTTATGACAGATATGAATGACAAATGTACATTGTAATCATTATGTGTATTACAGATGGTAAGGTTCTTAATGAAGAAGTCCTTAAACTGAGAAATCATCTACAAAGTATGAAAATGAATGCCATTAAGGATTTTATGGCAGAAATGATATGGAAGAGGGCAAATCATTGTATGTTGATGACTGATTCAATCTGGGCTTTTCTAGGTAATGGTATATACTGTGTAATTATATGTAAAACACTTAAAGTGAGTTTTATGTTGCATTTTCATTTTTGTGATTTAGAAAAAAATGTTGTAATGAGAGACATGAAATCTTTGAAAAGGTGTCAAATATAACATGTGTTAATGTGCTAGTTTTTTTTAAATAGAAGCAAAATGAGGTTAAAAATTTGAAAATTTGATAGATTTCTTCAAAATTTCTCTCAAACTATAATATTTCCTGAAACTAAGATTTTTAGAAATAAAAAGCCATATTGGTTTTAGTATAAATCTCTGAAAAAGTCAGAAAGAAGGGTTAAATGTATGTTCATCAAACATGAAAAGGTGGTCAATTAAAAATCAAACAAAATCTTGTTGATGTCAGTTTCAAATTTTTTTTACACATAACACACACACACATCATCATATAATCACGTGTATATTTCTGCTTTGTTTGAAGGTTATTTAATGAACACATATGAAGATAGAAATGAAGGTGTCAGTTGGATGTTAGCAGCCATGACAGATGAATCAGCTGAGTCCATACCACTTCTGGCTGAAAAAGTCAAAATAATCTTCCTCGGCAAATACCAGGATCATGATGTCCTAGCTAAAGGCAATGTTTACATACCTGAAGGAAAGACTGCAAAGAAATTTTCAAAAGTTCTTGGAGAAGAGGTGAATATTATTTTTTCTGCTTTATCTACAATAGAAAACATTAACTAGAGGCTCTAAAGAGCCTGTGTCGCTCACCTTGGTCTATGTGCATATTAAACAATGGACACAGATGGATTCATGACAAAATTGTGTTTTGGTGATGGTGATGTGTTTGTAGATCTTACTTTACTGAACATTCTTGCTCCTTACTGTTATCTCTATCTATAATGAACTTGGCCCAGTAGTTACAGTGGAAAATATTTTGTAAAAATTTACAAAAATTTACAAAAATTTATGAAAATTGTAAAAAATTGACTATAAAGGGCAATAACTCCTTAAGGGGTCAATTGACAATTTTGGTCATGTTGACTTATTTGTAGATCTAACTTTGCTGTACATTATTGCTGTTTACAGTTTATCTCTATCTATAATAATATTCAAGATAATAACCAAAAGCTGCAAAATTTTCTTAAAAGTACCAATTCAGGGGCAGCAACCCAACAACATGTTGCCTGATTGGTCTGAAAATTTCAGGGCAGATAGATCTTGACCTAATGAACAATTTTATACCATCAGATTTGCTCTAAATGCTTTGGTTTCAGAGATATGAGCCAAAAACTGCATTTTACCCTATGTATTATTTTTTTGCCATGTCGGCCATCTTGGTTTGCGAGCAGGGTCATCGGACACATTTTTTAAACTAGATACCCTAATGATGATTGTGGACAATTTTGGTTAAATTTGTCTTAGTAGTTTCAGAGGAGAAGATTTTTGTAAAAGATTACAAAAATTTACGAAAAATGGTTAAAAATTGACTATAAAGGGCAATAACTCCTTAAGGGGTCAACTGACCATTTTGGTCAAGTTGACTTATTTGTAGATCATACTTTGCTGAACATTATTGCTGTTTACAGTTTATCTCCATCTATAATAATATTCAAGATAATAACCAAAAACGGCAAAATTTCCTTAAAATTACCAATTCAGGGGCAGCAACCCAACAACGGGTTGTCCGATTCATCTGAAAATTTCAGGGCAGATAGTTCTTGACCTGATAAACAATTTTACCCCATGTCAGATTTGCTCTAAATGCTTTGGTTTCAGAGATATAAGCCAAAATCTACATTTTACCCCTATGTTCTATTTTTAGCCATGGCGGCCATCTTGGTTGGTGGCGGGGTCATCGGACACATTTTTTAAACTAGATACCCCAATGATGATTGTGGCCAAGTTTGGTCAAATTTGGCCCAGTAGTTACAGAGGATAAGATTTTTGTAAAAGTTTACGGACGACGGACGACGGACGCAAAGTGATGAGAAAAGCTCACTTGACCTTTCAGGTCAGGTGAGCTAAAAAAGGGGACATACTGTAAACCTTAATTGAAAACTTCAGTATAAAATAAAGGGTTATCAAAAATATCTGTTATATCAGGGATCACACATTAGAATAAGATCACACCATCAGTAGGTAAATGTTATCTGGTTCTTCACATACTGTTCTAGATTAGGTAAATTCTACATTACAATCAGGCACATTTCTGCATACTGATATGGTAAATTCTACATGACAAATCTGGTACATTTCTACAAATGAATATGGTAAATTCTACATGCTGACCTTGCAAATTTCTACATACTGGTCAGGTAAATACTACATGACAATCAGGCAAAGTTCTTAATGCTGACCAGGTAAATTCTACATACTGATCAGGTAAATTCTGTATGCTGATCAGGCACACTTCTTCATACTGATCAGGTAAACTCTACATGACAATATGGTACACTTCTACATACTGATCAGGTAAATACTACATGACAATCAGGCTTACTTCTAAATGCTGACCAAGTGAATTCTACATACTGATCAGGTAAATACTACATGACAATCAGGCACACATTAATGCTGACCAGGTGAATTCTACATACTGACCAGGTAAATACTACATGACAATCTGGCACACTTCTAAATGCTGACTATGTGAATTCAACATACTGACCAGGTAAATACTACTTGACAATCTGACACACTTCTAAATGCTGACCAGGTAAATTCTACATACTGACCAGGTAAATACTACATGACAATTGGCTCACTTCTAAATGCAGACCAGGTGAATTCTACATACTGACCAGGTAGATACTACATGACAATCTGACACACTTCTAAATGCTGACCAGTTAAATTCTACATACTGACCAGGTAAATACTACATGACAATCAGGCTCACTTCTAAATGCTGACCAGGTGAATTCTACATACTGACCAGGTAAATACTACATGACAATCAGGCACACTTCTAAATGCTGACAAGGTAAATTCTACATACTGACCAGGTTAATACTACATGACAATCAGGCTAACTTCTAAATGCTGACCAGGTAAATTCTACATACTGATCAAATAAATACTACATGACAATCAGGCACACTTCTAAATGCTGACCAGGTAAACTCTACATGACAATCTGATACACTTCTTCATACTGATCAGGTAAATACTACATGACAATCAGGCTCACTTCTTAATGCTGACCAGGTGAGTTCTACATACTGATCAGGTAAATTCTACATGCTGATCAGGCACACTTTGACATACTGATCAGGTCGATTCTACATACTGATAAGGTAAATTCTATATACTGATCAGTTAAATTTCTGTACACTGTTAAGGTAAATTTCGTGATTGATCTATATACTGATAAGGTAAATTCTTATGGTCTATATACTGAACAAGTAAATAATCTCTTTAATAAATCTTACAGTATTGTTGCAATTAAGAATGCTCTGACATTGAATTAATGTAATGATTGTTGGTTTGGGTTAGAGGACAGAAACTACACAGTAATGGAATAAAGGCATATGGGGTATTAATTCATGACACACAATTCCTACACAGTTGACAAAAGCCAAAGCAAAGGAACATGGCTTTTATTGCTGTTCATTAGCTCAAAGTATTTGTAAAGCAGCTGCCTTTATAGAATAATAGATTTTGGTTATATTTTTAGATTTAAGTCTTTTGGTTATTTTTTTTCATTGGGTTGCTTTCTCATGGATGTTTTCCCCTTCATCTTCCTTCATTTATATTTTAAAGTTTTTAGTCAACCACGAGTTTCTTATAATCTTATAAAATGAAACTTTTTAAATATTTTTTAGGCTTGGACTGATATAGAAATTAGCCTGAGATCCCAAGTGACATTACATGTGTACAGAGCATCAGATATACCAAACAGACACAGCCACTGTAATTCTAATCCTTATATACCTAACTCACTAAGACTCAAACTTGGTATGCCATTAATCAAAACTAAAGATGGTGGAAGCAGAACTAAAAGAATCAGAAGTGGAAAAACTTGAAATTATTACAAAGAAAAAACTTGATAACAACTTGTAGAGAACTGTAAATTCCAGACAGATGCTATTCAAATTAGACTTTTAAATATCGTCTACATCAGGGTATTGCAAAAATCTTTTGTAATTACTTAGAAGTTCCTAAACTGAGTTATGCCAACATGGAATAATTGGTGATAATAAACATGTTGACATTTTTTTTGTTAATTATGCAGAACCTTGAATATTTTTCTATTCATGGTATTTGTCTCGCCTGTGACGAAAGTTGCAGTATGCGAGACATAGGTATTACTATCCGGTGGTGGCGATGGCGTAAACTATTTGTTTAAAGCTTTATATTTCAGAAGGTAGAAGACCTGGATGCTTCATATCTTGTATGCAGATACCTTATGTTAAGAAGTTTCCGTCAATCATATGTCCTATGTCCTTGACCTCATTGTCATGGTTCAGCGACTGCTTGGAAAAAAAATTGAGTAATAGGATAATTATATTTGGTATATGGGTTCCTTGCAACGTGTACATGTCCGTCAGACAGAGTTCACCTGACCATTTAGGGGACCTCATAAAGTTCCTCAACATTGTTGGTGTTATTTATCCTACACAATGTTGTAGATCATTACTAATGGTGGGGGTTCTCAAGTCCATTAAGGGAACCTCATAACGTTCCTCAACATTGTTGGTGTTATTTATCCTACACAATGTTGTAGATCATTACTAATGGTGGGGGTTCTCAAGTCCATTTAGGGAACCTCATAACGTTCCTCAACATTGTTGGTTTTATACATCCTACAGAATGTTGTACATCATTACTATTGGTGGCAGTTCTCAAGTCCATTTAGGGAACCTCATAACTTTCCTCAACATTGTTGGTTTTATACATTCTACAGAATGTTGTACATCATTACTTTTGGTGGCAGTTCTCAAGTCCATTTAGGGCACCCCATAAGGTACTTCAACGTTAATGAAGGACTACATAGTATTATTTATTTTCTTATTATTTCTCTTTATTGGACTAGACTCATCATCCCTTCTCTCTGGATACTAGTATAATTTGCGGTTTTGTCCAATATTAATGGATGAAAGTCTTTTAATAAAGAATTGCACACATGAGAAAATGATTTTCACTGCAAATGACAAAATATTGCATGTGTGTTGAACTTTTTATATTTTAACCCTCCCTTAATGTATTTTCCATGACCAGGTATTTGTTCACCATGCAGTATAGATATTCAGAATAAGTTTCTGTATATTTTGTTTCCTTCACTTAAAATGCACTTTTTGCATCTGGACAAATAGATATTTTTTAACGTTAGAAAAATTTTTGCAATCAAGTTTTTAGCTTTCGTATTCACTGTTTGTATGTAGGTGACTTATTATGCTTTTTGACCAACAGAAATATTGATAAATCCAAGCTGATATTGTGCCCCATAAATGATAGATTTTGTAATATACAGTGAAAATAATTTTCTCTTGTATGCAATACTTTTAGCAATTATTTTATTATTTAATTAGAAAATAGTGTGATTTTAAATAAAAAATGTATATTTGCAGGATACTCATATTTTTATTATATTTATAAGCCTCTGACTTTCTTTTACTGTTCGTTAGGATGATGTTATTGAGGTTCCAATCGAGTAAAAAAATGTTACATATATCCCTGCTGTTTCCAAAGTATATACTGACATCTCTATGTAGTTATCCAATCGTAAAACTCAACACATTTGTAATCCGTAATATCATATGTTAATCAGGTCTCAGATGGGGTATATAATGTGATTTCATTGGGAATAATTTTCTTGGTTTCCAGTAGGTGAAATTTATATTCTTTATAGGTTAAGATTTTGTTGAGGTTTTTTCTTTCATGGACATTGTCTATCTACAAAATAAAATCAAATTTCTGCTTTTACAGTAGTTCCCGTAACTAAAATTATAGAAGAAAATATTGTCCTTAGAAATCATTGGGTCTGTTCAAGTAAAATTTTGAAGTCCGACTGAGAAATGTCCCTTTGTGAAATTTGTCTAGATTTTGAAGATAAGAGGTTAAATGTCTTGCTCAGGTCATACATACAGGTTCAAACAACATGACAGACATTGTTTTGGTTAAAGTTTGATTAACTTTGTATCATGGGCACCAAATTCACAAAACATTTTGAGAGAAAAAAAATACTCTTTTATGTCATGAACATTTCAGTATAATTTATGACAATATTTGTCGTAAGATTTTTGTGTAAAGATCCCCTGCTGAGTAAATAAGTTCATTTGGACAAAACGTATCCTAACATGTAAAACTAGAAATCATACATTTGAAATATATGAGATTGCCATAGGATGCTACAATTTCTTTGTCTATCATAATTAACTAATTTTTGTGGCATTATCTATTGTTTCAATAAACTAAATAAATTGAATTGTGTATATTTTTATTTTGAAGGCACAGATCAGTTTTATCAGTATACACTTTTATCACATTCAGACATATCCACACTTTTTATCAATTCAACAAAAAATTAATCTTACAATTATGACAAACTTGTGTAACGTATTCATACTGTGTCCATGTGTCGATTAAGTATATACAAGATATATATTTTTTCAAAAATAAAACATTTATTTGTATGTGCTTTATAAACAGGAGGAAAAGCAAGGCTTGCCAAGTTTATTCCTATTTTTTAGGCCATACAATAAATTTTACATTTTTTAACATTGTAAGTATACTGTTTGATAAATTCACTCTTACAATAAGTACAATATCAAAAACAATATTCCATTAATTTATTTCAAATAGAAAATTAGATGACTGCAGGACAAAAAGTTGAAATAGAATACCAAATGCTTGTTTTTGAGAGTAGGAATTGCAGCCTGTTACTGAAATACTTAGATCTCAACATTTCCTAATTTTGGTTTATTGGTCACATTAGCTAGTTGGCATTGAATGCATTAATTCAGAATCTACTGATTGTAACTAAGTTTGCAGAGGATATGTTTTTCCTGTCTCAAGGAAAACTTATCTTAAAATACAACTTTAAATCTAAACCTAACAGTAATGAATAAGATCTCTGATAAATGTACATCTCTTGCCTTATTTCAATACATTTTAAATCTTTGAACAAATTATGCAGACATTAACATTAGATTGTCAATAGATTTACAGGTATTACAGGTTTAAAAAAAATTCTTTTCTGTGAACATCACAGACAATATTTTGTCAGTAAATAAAAGATTATCTTTTTCACCATTGTTTTTAAATATTTCATCAACGGAATGCATGAAGTATAAAATCATTCAAAATATAACTTGTACGCTTTAACAGTAATCTTTTGTATAACCACTTATATACTAACTAAATATCACAATTGTTTAAATCACAATATATAAACAGTTGATTGTGAATATACATTTTACTCGCTACAAGATGCAGAAGACTATTACGGTTCCATTTCCTGTATGAGTAAACCCTACATTCAAGTCAATATATATCTTCCATTTTTCCTGCAAGTTTTGAGAAGGAATTACCAATTTTTAATTTATCAGAACAATTTCAACATTGTGAAAACCTACTTTCTTTCGTAAAAGTTAATGAAACTACATGCTCCAGGCATGAAATGATTTTGTATATTGTCAGAGGTGGTCAATGTATAAGACAAAAAAATCTTTTAATAAATTAGACTGATGAAATAACTGCTGCAGGATAAAATATATCACTTAATCATAGAACACAACTGACACAAAGTGTTACCATAAATTCAATATTTCAGTGTCTAGTTTGCATGTACTCTTAAAAAAAACACAATAAATTCAATATTTCAGTATACTCTTTAACAAAACACTATACATTCAATATTACATGGTGAATACTGCTTGCAAGGACAACTGACTATAATTTCTCTTTATTTCAAATAAATAATAAAGGATAAATATATATGGATTTCTTAAATGTATACAATACTTGAATGAGTGGATAGTTCTTTCCAATAAAGTTTCATTAAAACATATATGGTATGTACAAGGAAGTCTAATACAAAGATTTACTGTCAATTTGAAAGAGCAGCTTTCTTTCACATGTGGAAGATGATTTTAAATGCTCATTTCTTTAAACAAGAAAATTGCCATACATGTCTTACTGAAATAGTATTCTACATACAAATGCCCACATAAAATTAAAAAAATATATACATTTTTGACATGGGTTTCCTGTATGGACAATCCAGTCTTATACTTTCAACAGCAAAGAATCAATCTTTTTTTTTAAAAGTTGAATTTTAAATATTCAATTAATTGAGTTACTTTTCTTTAATCATGATTTCCAATGTTGAAAAAAAATCATACATTGTAAAAGTGACAAAATGTTTACATCAATAATATAACAGTGTAACCTTACATCATGTTGGACTTCATTTCAAACATTTTCACAAATATAACATTGAAAGTAAATGTATCAAACATCTTCCCATTAATGTCTGAACACAAATTAGTTTTGACAACTATTTGCTGTAGAATTTGTATACCATGTAAAAATTTCCCACATTTACAATGACTAGGTAATCTAAGGAAGCTAACTATCTAAAATGACCCATAAACAACCCCACTGCTGTAGTGTAACGTTTGAATTCATATCAAATACTTAGCACACATCTAGCCAAGTCTAAATACAAAAAAGGTTCAGTGAATTTAAAACACATTAAACATCAGCGTTGTGATTTTATGTCTCTTATATATTTAAGTACATTTATTTATATTAAGAACATGCATCAACCTTATGTTATATATGTTTTATTTAAAAGGGATAACAAATGTTGAATTGTCTTTCTAACAACCTCTTGGGACATTAAAAACCTGTGAAATAGCGACAATGGTTACTGATGAAAGAGTATACCTGTCTCTTGTAAGGAATGTTTTAAAAAGTGAACTATTTCCTTTAAAATTTCACAGATATATATATAATTTCTAATTTATATAATATATAAACTTATATGGCAAGACATTATTGTAAGTTTAATGTGTCCCATTCACAATCACGCTCATAACATTCAGACTGAGTAAGCATATATATATATATAAATCAGTCAACAAAAATAAAATTTGGAATGTAATTAAAAACCATCACAGCTTCTTTTATAAACAACAGCCAAACAAATTACACCAATCATGGAATGTCCTAACGCCAAATGAACAAAGAATAGATTGTTAACAAAAATTTGAGCCCTAATACAGTCTCTTCAGAAAAGATTAATGTCAGATTGTTAACAAAGAGGTGAGCCTTAAAACAGTCTCTTTAGAAAAGATTATTGTCCACTATGTGAACAGAAGCTCAACTTTCATGACAGCAGATGACATGTGACCAGATGATAGGGATGGCCTTTAGTACAGTTTGAAATCTTTACAAAGATTAAGGCTGCTTTAAACAACCAAATCTTGTCCTATAAGAAGTGGAATATCTTGAGAGGGATCTAAAAGGGAACCTGTTCAAGAAAATTCAAACATTTCTATTGTTCTATTTTGACCCTCTCCGTTGGAAAACCTTGGATTAATTCGACTTGTATTTTAGCAGTGCCTGTGTGTACCCATGGTTTGAATTACTGTCTAAAGGCAAACTTCTTTAATACTAAGGACCATTCATTTACAGGACTACTTAATAACAAGCTCAAGGACATACTAAAGAACATTCAGATGAAACCTTGTTTTGATTATTAACAAGTTTAACATATATGAAATAATAAACAAATAACAAAAGAGGAACATTATATATGTAGAAAGCAGGGACAAGGTGAAGCAAGGGTTAATAATAATAAGACAAAATACTTGTATTTATCAACTCTATACTTTTTGAATGAATGTCATTCACAGTACAATGTAAAATACCTATATGTAGACTAAAAATGTAGTCTGAGGTGTGATATGGTTTTGTAATAAAAGGATTTTGTCTGATAGAATGACCAGTTTAATTACTATGAAGAATTTCTGTAAGTCTTCTCTGAGGATTTAATAATCAGTTCAACATCCATTTTCACTTGCAACAAGTTTTTTTAAAATGATGTCTCCCTTTTAAAGATGTACATGACATTCAGGATAAGCCCTTTTCATTCAAAAATTGACAAATTTTAGATGTAGAAATTTACATTTACAAAAGAATGTGTTTTTATACCAATCAGCCTGATACTAGCGTATATAATAATCACATTCTGTGTGTAATATGCAGAACAGTAGAAATAATACAACAATCTAAAATAAATTTCCATATAAATGTACAATAACAATAAACTGAAGTATTTAAGTATATGCACCATATATTAAGTAGAAAGAAAAAAAAGTAATTCTACTCATGCATTTCTTCTCTGCACAGCAGATTAGGACCAAACACTTGACACCATGTGATCACTTTCGTTGGACTAAACTGGAATTCTTTTGCAAATAGTTGACTTTACACACATTCATTTGATTATCAGAAATATCTGAACTAAAAATATCCAAATGCATTATGAAATTTACATCACATGAAAGGAAGGAATTGTAGACTCTAAAGTGCCTGTATTCACTTACAAAGACTAAGTCATTTATATTTTCAAATGAGATCTTAATACTAATTATGTGAATGAAGTATTAATTGCTGAACCTGCATTCTAAAGTCCAGTATTTATCTTAGTTTTTACAGCTAGGTCAAATGTTAAAAAAAAAGGTAGATATTGTGAACTACTTTTTTAAGACGATTTTTTTAGTTTCATGTATGATTAGTTAAATATGATAAAATATTTAAATATAAATCTAAGTTTCAACTATAATCAACTGAGATTTCAAACCCATAATTTCTTAACCACTAAAGTAAATGATTTATATACAGAATTCCCCCAAATTATATGGCTCCCCTCAAGAGAGACAATTCCTCTTATAATGTTTCTTTGTTACTGTATACTAAGAGCAGTATCTCTGTGATTTTAGCAGTCACCACTGTAAAACACACTTTATCATAAGGCTCTTACTTTAATGATGGCCTCATGAAATGGGGACTAATTTACTACAAAATGATATTTACAAACTCAATGATATAGCCAACCCAAATAAATGAATAAATGTAGACCGGTAAACCTTGGCAGTTAATGATCCATGAGAATGACTGGATTTTCATGGTGATTAATTCATTAAAATTCTAGTCACAGCATGTGTTATTGTTTTTTTCTTTTCCATTGCCATAACTGTCTATCTATCCCAGTACAAGATTTCATTAATAATTTTTGTCCATCTAATGAAACTTCCATACATTTCTGTGTATTAGAATGAAAAATCGTATTGTCCTGAAAGAAAAATTAAAAAGATAATAAATTGCATTCCTTGAAATAGCACAAGAGGACAAGAAATGTTTGTAAATTTAATGACTTTTCAAATAAAAGAAGGAAACAATAATAACTGGAACTTTTTCTTGTTGACATTATATCTGCCACAGCAAATAATTCTTTTTGATTGATGAAGTACAAAATATGAGTTGTCTCCCATATAAAATGTCAGTTCAGTTGACACATGGGTCAAGGAAGATTGCAGTAGAATAACAACTATCAAATGGTCATGCTATCCATTTTAATGGATTCACATTCCAAATTAACGGAGAAGCAGACTTGAGTAATTCATATAACTTTAACCTGATCACTTGTATCACTGGAATTTTAACTTATTAATGAAAACATTACAGATTCTAATAGTTGAAGAGTTATGAAGCACCTCAGCCCTGCTTTTTTGTGGAGGGTCACGATTCTCTTTCTTTTTCTATGGAGTGTTTTGGGAACTCTTGTCATTTTGTACTTTTTTCTTTTGCTCATAAGCTTTTATGTCCTTCTTCAAATTGATTTTGCTTTTCACCTTTGTTTTTTCTGTTTAACAAACTTTTTCCTCTAACAACTATAGAATTTAAATTTATAGATATCAACCTGTCCACTTTATATCAGGAAGTAAAATACAGGATATCTGTTGATAGTCACTTTAAAATATGTTGGTCTCTGGCCCCTAAATGGCTTCTCAATGCCAAGCAACAAAGATTACATGCACATTCAAGACAATCAGTATAAAATTACCTCTCTGAATTCCCACTGTTGGTTACCCTTCTGACTATGACAAGGGTAGATAATCACGCTTTCGCCACCCGAGAAGTCAAGACAACCGTCATCTCTCCTTATCTCTCCAGTCTTACTTAACATCCAATACTGAAAACAAGAACGTTACTATACAATTTCCATTTAAATGGCAAATTCAACAGCCGGAAAGCTCTATATAAACATGTTTTACTATAAAAGGTAAAAACATTTTTTATATTATAAGCTTGCTTTCTAATGGTAATTTCAATGAATGGATTGAAATGCTAAAAGATTTGATTTTATTGCAAAAGAATATGTAAATAGTTTCAAACTGTAGTTTCTTTTAATCAATTAAATAAAGACATTTTTTCCAACTTTATCAATATATTTATTTAAGTATTCTAATACCCCCATCCCCCCTACCCCCACCACAAAAATTTTTTTTCACAAGTTAGCAATAAAACAAAATACAAAGCATTTTGTCCTTTTCAAACAACTATGTGAAGTGAAAAAATATAGCTCTCCTCATACATGAAAAAAACTCAAGTCTGGTCACATCTCTGAAGGCATTTGTGTACATTTTTTAAAGTATCCATACTTTATACATTTTTAAGATTTTTACTGTTGCTCTTATAAACTTCTTGGTATGTTAGACCGTTTTAGAATGAGATCAACACTAGCCAGGAATAAATATCTAGTGGTGTTCTCAATTAATCAAAATAAATGTACATTAACTCAATTGTTATATCTAATATAAATATTCTAATTGGAAAGATACTTCTTGCTAATTTATATAAAACGCATTCAATGTATTATACCTGCCAAGTTACCTAATGATGGCCAGACAACATACGACAGCAAAACCATGACAATAGTTCACTAGATGTATAGATTCCACCACTGCATCAAGTGTGTTACAACATTTCTCCACTCGAGACTGTTAAATTTTAATATTTAAAACGTGAGGCTTGCCAAGCTTTTTAAATAATTAAAATCTAACAGTTGAGAGTGGAGAAATATCGTAATTCATGAGTTATAGTGGTGGAATCTGTTTCGCTTATGATTATTATTCTTCCTTTTCAAAGATTTAAGTTGTGTTCTTTATGTGACGTCATCAGGCATGGTCACCTTTTTTCATGACATCACAATTGGAAATTCAGACTAATCGTTGGCCGAGAACAAAGTTTTCTCTAGAGATGAGAAATATTTTTCTCACACCGGTTGAGAAATGTGAAAAAAACATGAAAATTAGAGAAACTATTAGTCAGGTGAGCTAAAAACCCAAGAAAAACAAATGATACATGACAATAGTTCACTAGATACTATTGACCAGGTGAGCTAAAAACCAGGAAAAACAACAGATACATAAGATTTTTTTATCATCTAACCTGAAATAAAAGTACAGGTTCCTCTTGACAGCCACCTTGGTTACGACAAAGCTTTGTTAGGAACTGACCTGATGTCCATCAATGTTATGATATAGCCACATATTAACTGGATTATATCAGCATGATACGAACTAACCTGACTGCCACCCTGGTTTTGACAAGTTATTTAAAAGGCATATGCTGGAAATGAACCTGATTGCCACCCTGGTTATGACAAGGAACAAGTTAACTGATTTATTGCCACATTAAGAACTAACCTGATTACCACCCTGGTTATGACATGGCCACATGTTGGCTAATTAATTACCACATCTAAGAACTACCCTGACTGCCACCTTGGTTATGATAAGGCCACAAGTTGACTAGTTTATAACCACATTAAGAAATAACATGACTGCCACCCTGGTTATGACATGGCCACATGTTGACAAGTTAATTACCATATCTAAAAACTAACCTAATTTCAACCCTGGTTATGACAAGGCCACAATGTGCAGGTTTATAACAACAATAAGAATTAACATGACTACCACCCTGGTTATGACATGACCACATGTTTAGTTAATTACCACATCTAAGAACTAACCTGATTGCCACCCTGGTTATGACAAGGCCACATGTTGACTTGTGTATAACCACATTAAATAAACTGTAACACAGAGTTATGTCTTGCCTTTTTGTTATTTTGATAGTAATATGCAAATGTTGAAATTAAATAGCTATACTTAAAAATGCAAGTTATGCGAAATATTCAAAGTCAATGAACCATGACTGAAGATACAGGACCAAACAATGAAATGGAAATGAGATGTTCTAATACTAATACAACTGAATACAAAATATCATTGACCTACCACTAGTGGTTCCCCATAAACTGACCTAATCACAAACTTATACATGTACATGTAAACTAAGCAAAAGTTTAAAAGTCAATAGACCAATACTGAGGGGGTGGGGCCAAACAATCTCAATGGAAATGAGATGTGCCAATACTAATACAACTGAATACAAAATATCATTGACCTACCACTAGTGGTTCCCTATAAACTGACCTAATCACAAACTAATACATGTTAACTTAAGCAAAAGTTTCAAAGTCAATAGACCACGACTGAGGGGGCAGGGCCAAATAATCTCCATGGAAATGAGATGAACCAATGCTAATACAACTGTATACCAAATATCATTGACCTACCACTAGTGGTTCCCCACAAAACTGACCTAATCACAAACTAATACATTGTTGATGCCGCCGCTGGAAACAGTATACCTATGTCTCCCTTTTTGACTCAGTCAAGGCGAGACAAAAACTAACCTGATTGCCACCCTGGTTATGACAAGGCCACATGTTGACTGGTTTATGCATATTATGTGAATCAACTGAACTGTCAACACACATTGGTTTAGCTTTACTTCTTATCTGTAATTATAAAAAATAAATCCTGATTAAATACAATCATCCTAAACACATTATTTGTAAAAATATTTTGTATTAACTGAAACATTTTCTTAACAGAATTTCCCAATACAAATGAAGTTTGTTCACTTGGTCCTTTTTGATAGGCTATTTAGAATCCAGGTTACCAGTGTCCATGACCACTGTGTTCAGTCAATGGACACTATATTACACATCAAATCCTCTAATATATAACTATAATGTACTTCATACTGGGAATGTATCTTATCTCTTAAAAAATAGATAAAAGTGTTCCTTAACTTCTCTGAACCTTTTCTGATTTATAATCATACTGAAACATTTTACCTTTTTACAAATGATATCACTTGTGGCCAAATTTTTCTATATAGGTACAAAACGAAAAATTGTTTACTTCTTTAAGTGTTTGTTTTTTGTTTTATTATTTTGTGTTGATATATATCCAACATGTTCTTTTGTTCAAATTGTTTGACTTCTTATGGCTTTGTATGAAAGATTTACTTGTAGCAAACCAATCTGAATTACCTCCCTTGATGCTATAAGAGTCCCCTGGTACAAACCAATCTGACTTACCTCCCCTGATGCTATAGAGTCCCCTGGAACAAACCAGTCTGACTTACCTCCCCTGATGCTATAGTCCCCTGGTACAAACCAATCTGACTTACCTCCCCTGATGCTATAGTCCCCTGGAACAAACCAGTCTGACTTACCTCCCCTGATGCTATAGAGTCCCCTGGTACAAACCAGTCTGACTTACCTCCCCTGATGCTATAGAGTCCCCTGGGGCCGTATGCATAAAACATCTTCCTTAAACTTAAGATTTCACTAAGAATTCCCTTAGTTAAGTAAAATTCTTAAGATGTATGCATAAAATGACTTAGTCTTCACTTAACTAAGGAATACTTAAATCGGAACCTTTCTCTAATTACTGTGTGACATATATTAGCTCATCGCATGTACACATCCATGTAAAAGTTTGTTATGATTATTTACATTGATCGATCAGAACATATTTTTATTAAGAGCTGGGGTTAAATTGATGTTGGTATCTAAAACAATTCAATAATATATATCAAAGTAAAATGTTGAAACAGATGATAAAATTTGGCGCATAAGGGAAAAGGTTGACGTTTTTAAGGACGAGCATGGGTAGAAAAAGATATTTGTAATCCAAAACTTCTCCCCACTTAATCTTTAATTCATCTTTCATGGGTGTTGCTGGATGGAGGGGCCTGTGTATTTTCTGGAGACAACAATGTAAATATTATAACTCTAACAATACATGATAAAGGTTTCAATGGCGCAGCACCAGTGTAGCATTGCAAGCATGTGCTTAAAAGTAACTTTATAAAACTTTTTTTTTAATAAAAATTTCACTATAATCGTTCATCTTCCGGTGGGCCCCTTGCTTAAAATTTCTTTTGGGGTTTTAAAAAATCTGTTTTGATTTGAAATAAACTTTTTTATCACAACCCTTTTACAACAATAAAAAAGGGGAAGAATCAATTTTCTACGCATTCATATAAAAACAAGAGCATTTCCCATAAGTCCAACAATCTTTACTAAAACACACATTATTAAATTTGTATGTTTAGGGTAAGGTATTATCAACATCTTAGCGTACTTCTGAATATTTCCATGATTTCACTGGAAAGTTATCAATGCCTAAAGATGATTTGAGACAAATTTGAGCAATTATCCAAAAAATGGCGAGAAGGACAATTCTATTGGAAGTGATTACTAAATTTAATTAGGTTAAAGTCTTCTCTCTATGCAAAATTTCAAAGGAGTAAGACCCCTTTTTGGCCCCAAAATATAGTGTTTTTACAAAGTAGTTAAAAATGTCACATTTATCTTTTTATTGGAAAGTAGAATACTTTTGTTACATGAATATGGGGTGTTTTTGACAAAACAATGGACATGCATGAGGTACTAGCATCATTTTTTCATGCAAAAATACTGAAATCTTCACAATTTTAGCATTTGTGTTCAGTTTTAATATTTAAATACATGTTGTATTTAATAATAATACATAACATATATAAATGTTGAGAATGAACACGAATGCAGCCACTTCCATTTTAGACAAAAACCATCTGAAAAGTGACGTTTTATGGCATATTTGATAGATTTTTCATACTTAAGCTTGAATTTGAGCCCCTTTGATGACCAAATCAGTTCAAATCTTTAATATAAACTGATTGAATCGATTAAAGTAGACACTTAAGTGTTTTAAAAATGTCAAAAATCTTTTATCAGATAACAGGCTATTATTTCAACTTGGAACTATTTTTAATTATGGAATTTGCATAATTTCTTGTGCTTGAAATTTTTAATAAATTCCATGTTTATTCTGTACTTTAATGTTCTGTGCTGCACACAACACTTTCTATTACACAGAAGATAGTACATTTTCAATAGAATGTACTGTGCAGCGCACAACACTATCTATACAAAATACATTTTGTGGAAAGTGTTATGAACCGCTTAAAACATTATAATACCAAATAAACATGGAATTTATTAAAAATTCTAAGCACAAGAAATTATGCATTTTCCATAATTAAAATAATTCCAAGTTCAAATAATAGCCTGTTAGATGTACTTTGAATTTTAGGCCGAAATAAGCCCTTATCGGACCTTCTCCTTTGCAATATTTTCGTTTACAGCAATATATCACTGAATATATAAGGAAATATGAAAAATAATTTAATGTTACATAAACTTTGAATTCCATGGGTAGGTCTTAAAACTTTCCGATTTTGTCCCTGTAAGTACCTCTTTAGAATAAAACTAAATAATTGAAAGTTTAAGTGATGCACCCTCCTTTACACACACAGAAAACAGGACTTTTGCACACCTGAAGATATTCATCTCTTCCTTCCTTCACACTGTTTTTTACTAACGGTTGGTTACAATTGACACCACACGGTGTATTTTAACACTATAATGTTCAAAGTTATTTGTATAAACAGGCACATACAGAGTAAACAAAAGAAAAATAATAGCATGAATTCCATGTGTGTAATCAAAGTGCTTGTAAGCACTGAAGGGTAATGATTGCTTTAATCTATCAGTGAGAAGTAAAATTAAACATTGCATTGTAAACATATTGGTTGTAGCTGATTCAATTACAATTATGGACAAAGGAAGATAACTCCATTTTTAAAGATTACTTTAACAATGACATCATATATATTTTTAGAACAGATATTAGATTCCTGCACCTTGCACAAGTTATGTAATTTTCTTACACGTATAACATCATTTTGTAACTTGGATATCTGAGCATATATTTCATTGATAAATTTCTGGAAATGTTCATGGATAGGATGTTTAGAATGTAATGATCAATGCACTATATTGTGTGTATCTCAAAAGTAGTGATAAACCTTGGAAGATTTAGATATCAAGTCAGTACCATAAGGTTTTGATTGCATATCATGCACTCTTTACCCAAAAACTGAGTACTTTTCGGTATGCACAACGAGATTGAGAAATAAGGGTAGAATGAAGTTACATAACTCCCCTCTGTTATTTCTTGATTTGTTGAATAAACATGATTTTAAGAAAATTACAATGATCATTAATATTTAGCAATAAACAAACGAAATATTACTGATATAATTATTAATCAATTAAATGATAGCTAATGTATTAATGTTCTGCAAAAAACGCATACTTTCGACTGATTTTTAACTATTTTTAAAAGCTTAAGGTAGCTCTATAGGTACCTTAGACTTAAGTAATATCTCAGGCATTTTCTTAGTATAAGGGGTTTTATGCATACCACTTAAGTTTTGTGGGCGTGACTTACAACAACTAAGATTTTACTAAGGAAATAATTAGATTAAGATTTTTTATGCATACCACTTAGGTAAATAGGGCAGAGTTTCCTTAACTTAAGTGTTTACTAAGGAAAATCTTAACTTAAGTAGCTTTATGCATACGGGCCCTGGTACAAACCAATCTGACTTACCTCCCCTGATGCTATAGAGTCCCCTGGTACAAACCAATCTGACTTACCTCCCCTGATGCTAAGAGTCCCGTACAAACCAGTCTGACTTACCTCCCCTGATGCTATAGAGTCCCCTGGTACAAACAAATCTGGATATATATTCTTGACAAACCAATCAAAACTTTTACAATTTAAACTCTTCCTTAATGCTTTTCTTTCAGTCACATCACCATATTCTCCCTAAAATGAATATATTATTTTTATTTTCCTTTTCAATTAACCTCTATGGATGTATATAAATGACATAATGAAACAAGTGAATCTGTGAGCTACTGCTCACTAATGATACCCCGCCCGCTATAAGTATAAGGTAAACAGTAAGTTGTTGAGTGATGAATCTGAAAACGCATCACACGGTATAGCTGACTCATATAAACCCTGAAACCAAATTTCAGAAATCCTTGTAATATAGTTCAGAGAAAGATGTGACGAAAAATATTCATCGGATGGATGGACAGACAGAGGTAAAACAGTATACCCCCACTTTTTTAAAGCAAGGGAATAATAAATTATAGAACATCATCACCATCACTATTTTTCTGTATATCCACATATATCAGCCTTGGCAGAAAAAGTTCAGACTAAATGAGGTTTCGCAAACAGAATTTGGATTAAGACTTTTTAATATGCATATCCAATAAGTTGCCATACACATTTTGAATAGATACTAATAGAAATACCATTTATCTGTGCTACTTTACATCTAAATTGCATTATTTATCCTCCGTTGAACATATGTAAAATCTCTTAAAGAGAATGAATAAATTCTTTATAAAATACTCACTAAATCATAATTAAATCGTTCATAATAATAATTTTTGTATTCATCCATCCAAACTTCAGCTAATCGTATAGAATTTTTCTTCACAACATTGACACCTGTCCTCCATTTGTACGGGGATCTTTTACGGAAAATGTGACCAACATGAGAACATGGAACTATCTCTAATGTACCACCGCACATCCATATCTGTTCAAATATAAATAGTGCTATGTATAGATACAATAAATCACCAATAACTTCAACATCCTCTCCCTAAAAAAAACCAAAACATGAAAGTGGTGGAAAATTAGTTTCTATCTATAAATTGGAATCTATGATTTTGTGACTTCCAGTCTTTAAATTTCTGTTAATGTTGTTTAAATGACTGTAGCTGTTCCCTGTGTTTACAAAACTCTTTTGCATGTGTTATGTGTAATCTCTACTACTTCATTTTATTGTGCTTGGTAACAACAATAGGTCAAGATTGAATGGAAGTTTCTAGTTACAAATAATTTCAAAAAATAATCGTCATTTTGTTGTAATTTCCCGAGGCAATATAATGTGGTAAAAAACATATAACTACTGTATAGTGTATCACTGCACTTCAAATGAAAGTGAATGAATACTTTAACCTCAGTAACACATTATCTGTTTTGTCTCCCTTCCAGCAATTTGATTATAAAAAATGTATTTCTTATCAAAGATTTACACAATTACAATGTACCAGTATTTTGCATTTTATTAATAGTAAACTATTCTGGCTATATTTCAAATATAGGTGTATCAGTCAATGGCAGACTGATGCATTTACATATATCAATCCATTTAAATACACCGACTATGGATTGTTCAATGTAATTAAAATTATTTTAATATCAAATAAAAACAACACGAATAAACAACATACTTTGACTCTATTTTTTGAATCAATTGAAGAATAAAATAGCAATCATTATGGTAAGGATGAAATTGTTCCTCATAATAAAGGTAATGTAGCCTCTACAATAGGCTGGTTATCTTCCCTTGCAACATGCAGGTATTTTAGCTACCCTAATTGCCAAAAAGATGAAAGGATCGCAGACCAGCTGTCTTGCAAACAATATTAATACATTTATAAATCACTACACAAGAGTGTAAAGGCAAACAAAATTACTATTACTAGATGAATCAGTACAACATAAATGACCCCCCTCCTTTTTGCAGTCTAAAAAAAGGTCAGGACAAGTATGATTTTGAAGAAGCTATCAATCAAAGGCTATACTTCTGCCATAAGTCAGTTAACAGGAATGATGTGCAAACTATGTACTAAAAATCAAATAAATATCTACTAGTTATACAAACTATGTACTAAAAAATCAAATTAATATCTGCTAGTTTACTAGAAAAAAGCCTGGGTATCTGTTTAATTTCAGAATGATGTGGCAGGGGGCACATATAAAGCATCTAACTTGCAGAATAATGCTTTTAAATTATCATGAAAGGGTGTTTAGTTCTTATAAATGCTGAACAATTTTAAAATCAGATGGATTATAAATTGTGGTATTGTTTCCTTGTGGACATAAGAATCATAAAACTGAATGTTACCCTAAAAGACAGTTCTAAGTTTTCTCCTCCCCATATATCCATGCCTGGATCATATGTTCCTAAATGTGTAAAGTATTCTCTACTTATAGAAAACAATCCTCCTGCCATTGTGGGGGACCTAAAATATACAAACAAATGTGTTACACAACATTTCATAATGTAATATGTAAATACACAAATTATAAAAATAATTTGTTAAATAAAATAATTGTATTAATTAACTGGTAAAATGAATGCTTTTTATTTTAGAAATTACATAATAAACTTTTGAATTATGTAGAATTGATAAATTATAACAAGAAATACTTTGTGGAAATATTAACTCTATTCATCTTATTCATAATGATTAAATCAACAATTTAAGATTTTATGAATACATGTTTATAGAATAAATAGTTATATGAACTGTAAATAATTATTACATATATTTTCAACGAACGTTATTAGTAAACCAAGAAACATAAACCAATGCAACCACAAAATAGCTAAGAATACAGATGGCAAATGAAAGATCAAAATTTTTAAAGCAAGTAAAAAATAAGACTAAAATGTGATTAACTAAAGCTTAAGATACGTACAATATGTATGTGTAGAAAAGCTGTGTGATAAATAATAATAAGAGCAGTACTATAAATTATAAGCATATCATACAGTGCTTGAAGTGAAATAATACTACATCTATACAGTCAAGAAGTTTCACAGTAAGAAGTAAAGACTGGCAAACATTTATACAAGAAATATTACAATAAGAGGTAAAGCCTGGCAGACTTTTTTGAAAGTATAGAACATCTATACAAGAAAATTCATTGTAAGAAGAAAGGGCTGCCTGGATTCTTTCTGACAAGGACAGTCACAGAAAAAAAAACTGTTGAAATTTAAAATAGAGCAGAATCTTTCAGATTTCTTATTTTGCAAATAACTGGGCAAAGGGATATGTCCAGGTTGTTTCACCTAATGTGGTTATATTACTGTCCTGTGAACTTTAGTTTGAATGACCTCTAGATTGTTGGTTTTCAGGAATATTCCAGCAAAAACAGACAGGACACAAACTAGAATGTACCTTTAAACATTTATCCACTTGTTTTCACATGTAGATAATGCACCACAGAACAATCAATGCTAAAGTTTAAAAATGGGAGTACACTTTTAAAAATAATTTCAACTCAGTACATAATTTTTTCATTCCTGTTTTGCATAATACTTCTTGTTTCATCGACAATTACTTTATGAAATAAGGACATACAGTCAATATATTTATTCAAAACAAAATTTCCAACATATCTGCCAAATTGAATGTTGATACAAGTTATGAAGTCTCCTTAAGGTTTTAAACTCTTTGTCAGGTAAGGTTTATTTATTTGTAAAGTTTTAGTGATTAATCTTGAGAATGACCTGGGATATTTAAAGCTTTTTATGAAATCATTAAAAATGGGTTAAAAAAAGATTTTTTTTCAGAAAAAGTTAGTGCCAATAAAGCTGCTGTCATGCATCTGTTATAGTTCTGTTAACGTCCTTAATTAACCAGACATGGTGTGCAGAATTTTACCTTATACCATCACATTGAATTTTTTGTAATTTTTTTCTGAAATGAGGTTTAGCATCTTTCTATGTCTGTAAGTGAATATTTTTTTTTTTATTTGCCAAATTTGGTCCCTTATGTCCATTTTTTCTTATTACAATAATTAAGATTACATGAATTAAATTTAAAATTTTCATGAAAAATTCAGAAATTATCAGTATCTAACATAACATGTTTTAAAAGTTGCACTTACATTTTCACTTACAAATGTACAAGAGAACTCATTAAAGTCTATTGTTCAAATCCAAAAATAATTTTCTGTGTAAAAGTTAACCAGAAGCTCTGAGGGTCTGTACCATTTACCTAGAAGTACTGATTTTATGAGCACCAAAATACTATTTAATATTTGTTTATTGACCGTCATCTCATTGCTTAAAAGGATATTATAGGTTATTTACAGTCTCCAGAAATCTAGTACAAAGGAACTAATATTTTAATTTAACTCTTATTACACCTAATTATGCTGGCTGTTGGACAGCCTTTGTGATTTCAGAAAGAATAAAAAAAACATACTAAAAAAGTTAAAATGCAAAGTTCTATTCTATGAGGATTGGTTGGTCAAGTTTGGTCAAAGTATGCAGAGTGGTTTTTGAGAAGAGGAGTATTAACCTAAGGTCCAATGGATGCCCTCTATTCACAGTTGTATTAACTATATATATATATAGCTACTAGGTGTCATTCCATCATTGAAACATTTGAAAGAGGGTTTAAAACATAGGGTTAGGAACATCAAGTTGACAAGTCAGATAAAACAATATAAAGAGAAGTCAGCATAACAACCAATAAAATGCTCCGCAGGGCGCAGCTTGATACGACCGCAGAGGTCGAACCCTGAACAGTTGGGGGAAGTATGGACACAACATTCAAGCTTGATACAGCTTTGGATTTGGATTGTGATTAAATATTTGACACAGCATAGGTTTCTAACACAGATTGAATGTGGTCTAAGAACTTAAAAATTTTAAATTGGACATTCACCTATTATGGTCCAATATCCAAAATCTAAATACATGGTTAGATTCAGCATATCAAAGAACCCCAAGAATTCAATTTTTGATGAAATCAAACAAAGTTTAATTTTGGACCCTTTTGACCTCAATGTGGACAAAGTTGATAACGGGGCCCAAAAATCAAAAATCTAAATACATGGTTAGATTCAGCATATCAAAGAACCCCATATATTCAATTTTTGTTGAAATCAAACAAAGTTTAATTTTGGACCCCGATTTGGACCAACTTGAAAACTGGGCCCATAATCAAAAATCTAAATACATGTTTAGATTCAGCATATCAAAGAACCCTAAGAATTCAATTTTTGTTAAAATCAAACTAAGTTTAATTTTGGACCCTTTGGACCTTAATGTAGACCAATTTGAAAACGGAACCAAAAATTAAGAATCTAAATACACGGTTAGATTCGGCATATCAAAGAACCCCAATAATTCAATTTTTGATGAAATCAAACAAAGTTTAATTTTGGACCCTTTTGACCTCAATGTGGACAAAGTTGATAACGGGGCCCAAAAATCAAAAATCTAAATACATGGTTAGATTCAGCATATCAAAGAACCCCATATATTCATTTTTTGTTGAATTCAAACAAAGTTTAATTTTGGACCCTGATTTGGACCAACTTGAAAACTGGGCCCATAATCAAAAATCTAAATACATGTTTAGATTCAGCATATCAAAGAACCCTAAGAATTCAATTTTTGTTAAAATCAAACTAAGTTTAATTTTGGACCCTTTGGACCTTAATGTAGACCAATTTGAAAACGGAACCAAAATTTAAGAATCTAAATACACAGTTAGATTCGGCATATCAAAGAACCCCAATAATTCAATTTTTGATGAAATCAAACAAAGTTTAATTTTGGACCCTTTGGACCTCAATGTGGACCAATTTAAAAACGGGGCCCAAAATCCAAAAACTAAATACACGGTTAGATTCAGCATATTAAAGAACCCCATGAAATCAAGAATAAAACCCCATTGAAATTGGTCAAGAAATAAGCAATTTATAGGAAGTATCTTCTTTTGCACAATCCTGTGCTATTAAATATTTCTTGCTATTGCGCAATACTGTACAATTGACAATTTCTTGCTATTGCGCAATATTGTGCTATTGGATATTTCTTGCTATTGCGCAATACTGTGCAATTGAAGATTTCTTGCTATTGCGCAATACTGTGCAATTGAAGATTTCTTGCTATTGTGCAATACTGTGCAATTGAAAATTTCTTGCTATTGCACAATACTTATTATATAATAATTTACACATCCTGTTTGGTGTGTATCTCCTACCATATCATTATTATTTGATTTTAAATATAAATCAGAAATAACCAATTTAAAATGGAAAATTTTAAAAGAAACAAAAAAGGAAAAAAAGAAAAAAAAGGAAAAAAAAATAAATCCCCCCCCAAAATTTTTTGAACCCCCATTATGGTTCATCACCCCCAAACTCAATCCCAGCCTTCCCTTTGTGGTATGGTACCTTGCAGTACAATTTCAGAGAGATCCATACACTTGAACACAAGTTATTGTCTGGAAACTAGAAAAAAATGTGTTTTTTGGCCCCTTTTTGGCCCCAAATTCCTAAACGTTTAGGGCAATTACCCCCAAACTCAAACCCAGCTTTCCCTTTGTGATATGGAACCTTGTAGTACAATTTCAGAAAGATCCATACACTTACACACAAATTATTGTCATGAAACTAGAAAAATGCTTGTTTTTTGCCCCTTTTTTGGCCCCTAATTCCAAAAATTTGGAGGCAATTACCCCCAAAATCAATCCCAGCATTCCTTTAGTGATATGGAACCTTGTGGTACAATGTCAGAGAGATCCATACACTAAGACACAAGTTATGTCTGGAAGTTACAAAAATGCTTATTTTTGGCCCCTTTTTGGCCCCTAATTCCTTTACTGTTATTACCATAACCCCCAAAATCAATCCCAACCTTCCTTTTGTGGTATTGAACCTTGTGGTAAATTTTCATAAAGATCCATTCACTTAAACTAAAGTTAGAGTGCGAAAACCAATGTGTCTTCGGACGACGCCGGACGACGCCGGACGACGACGACGACGACGACGACGCCGGACGACGACGACGCCAACGTCATACCAATATACGACCACAAAAATTTTTTTGCGGTCGTATAAAAACAAAGATTTTATGGATAAGTTGTTAGAGTACTACATTAGTATGTTAGTTAGTTTACAACATGGTGTGCTGACTAACCGGACAGGATCAGTGGGTGATTTACGTAATTTCTGTATGTATTCTGGAGGGTACATCCATTTGAATATAAGGTTCCAGTCAAATTTCCCTATCTGTATATCTTTAGACTTATGTGCAATAAATTTTAAAGTCTCGTCAGAAATTTGTGGAATCTGAGGGTAAACAACATGGCGCTTGTCTTCAGCTATTCTACTCAACAGTGGTTCTAACCAACCTACATAAAAAATTGTTTTCAAAAAATTAATTTCGTGACAATTTACATGTTTCAAAACTCCTAAATATGAACTGCATGGTTATCTTCAGTATAAACTCCTAAACATGAACTGCATGTTATCTTCAGTATAAACTCCTAAACATGAACTGCACCACCATTTTGACCACAGATGATGAGCTTTAAATTTAGCAAGAAAAGTTCCAGAATAAGAGGCTCCAAAGAGTTTGTACCTAGACAAAATAATAGGATTTATACCAAACAAATATGTCAGTCGATTGTCATGTAAACCTCTTTGATGACATATGTAGTCTACAGACAAAAACTTAAGACCTGAAACCGTTTAAAAGATCAAATCATTAAAATTGATGCCATCTTGGAAAATGAATGCATCTGTCTAGACATATTTAAAAAAATATCCAAGAATAATGCCCTAAAGCTAATTCTAATTGGCTTAACAAAACAAACATAGACATTGTTCAACCTATTTAAATAAATGGGTGTGGTCAGGAGAGTTCATTTTGAAAGAAACACAGAAGTTTTATTTAAACTGATCAAGACATTTCCAAAGTTATAGAAGTTTGGTAATCAGTTGGTTAAAACTTGTTGGCCAAATAGAATCCAAGCTTTGCTTAATGTCCAGTGGCAAATATTTCATGCATATTCAGACTTAAATAAAACAAATCTTATAATAAATAAGGTAAATAAAATATGTGAAGTGGGTGTCTATGATGAAAGACAGGAAATTTGTACTGCCACTGAGAGAAAAGGTATGTTTGGTAAGATAGATGTTTTGTCCAATAAGGTCCCCTCAAATAGTTATTGCATCAGATTTGACACCCACATTCCAAAAGTGATGATTTGAAAATTTTTTAATCAAGACAATGAATTCAAAGTAAAAACTATAGCCTTTACCGAGTCTTTATACTTGATGAGCTAATCAGGACATTTTTTCAAAAGGCAGTAAAACTATTTAAGTTTAAAAAGTCTTGCAATTGAAACTTCACAAAACCTAGCCTAAACTTAAGAGTGTAAACAATAGCTCTAAAGTGAAATTTGACTAAAAGCAAGCATCACTAACCGAACTGGATCAATTTGTTTAATCCGATTTTTTTGTACAGACTCTGGGGGAACCATCCACCTGAATATTAAGTTCCAATCAAATTTGCCAACTTGAATATCTTTAGCAGCAAAGGCTTTAAATTGCAATGTTTCATCAGATATTTGAGGAATCTGGGGATACACAACATGATGAAAGTCTTCAGCAATCCGAGATAACAGGGGTTCAAGCCATCCTAGAATCAACCAAGATAATATTACATGGACTTTGTTGATGTTTGTTATATGTGTGCAAAAACTGCATTAATAGGCAGAAATTTAGAAAAGATATATAACTCGTGTTACAAAGACTACATGACTAAAAGGTTGATTATTCTACAGCCAAAACAAACCTGATCGGAGTTGCCTTGTTTATTAATTTCTTTTTAACAGTTTCCGCAACAGGCATCCAATTAAAAACCAAATTCCAATCGAATCGGCCTACTTGTATGTCTTTATGCTTGGTAAAGTCAAAACGTAAACTATCATCAAGTATAGACTCAATGACTGGAGTGACCACGTGCCGTTTATCTTCGTGGATACGGGAGAGTAAGGGTTCAAGCCAACCTGTCAAAAGTTTAATGTATTAAAACACTATACCTGTATCCTAATTGACATCCCAAGCTAAGCAACTGTGCAGGGAGCTAACCTCTGGTGAAGGCTAACTGTTTGAGTTTTTTTTTTATATTCAAATCTGTAAATTGATGCCACAGAACAGTACTACAAGATAACTTTAATACTAATGACAAGCTTACATATCCTGTCTTTGGTAATGACTCACTTGACATATTTCAAACACATAACAATTCATAATTGCTTGATTTTGTTTAAAATGTGAAATAATCATCTTCTATAAACAAAATTCTATATAGGACTATGTATCAAATTTATCAGCAATTATTTCCTCAAATTAATATACAGACAGAAAAGCAAGCTTGGAGCCATTCTGGTAATAATTAGTATCCAACAGAGGTAAATTACAAACATAAAATATTGGAACGTACAATTATCTATTAAAACAACTGTGCAATGAATGCATGACAGACCTCCCCCTTTGTAATCACAAAAAAGTCCAATAACTCAAAACAAAAAATCTAAACATTGTAAAAAATCTAGAGGGAGTTTGCTTTAATTGGTAATAAGATAGTTATCAAATATTCTGAAGTAGCTGAACTTTGTACAAGACGTACAAATGTCTCTTGACTATCTTGACATTTAAAAATCTTCGAAACTAAAAGGGAGCTAGTTTTCATTAATATTATTATTGAATAAAATTTTCATGTTGTACTGACAGACAAACAACAGACATATGGTTCACTGTTGTTTGTCTGTCAGTTTGAACAGGTCTTGTTGCTAACTGAACTATGCTTTAACAGATCTTAATATAATTTTCAAAAAAGTGGTTTGTTTTCTTAAGATTAACTTCCTTTCACTTTTTAACAAAATTCTTTTTTTTTTGCGTTCCAGAGCTCAAGTGATCTCTGGTGCATAAAATTCAAATATTACTTTAACAACCTGTAAGATTAATTATCATACTTCAAAAATATACCAATTTTACCATCAATATTCTTATGTTTTAAAAAAAAACTATGGTATGAAGTAAATTGTAAAAGACAATCACAGACCCAGTTCATAAACCGCACATAATTTAAGGTATTTAGTAAAAAGTAAATCCCCTTATACCAAAATTGCAGCCAATTTAGTCGCATTGAAATTTACTTAATAAAACTAATAAGCTTATGGTATTCCAATAAAAAGTCACATGCTGTATAAAAGTATGCATACATTTCTCAGATTCAACCTCAGCCCAAAACAAACCTTATTGGCATTGCTTTTGAAGTCAGATTCTTTCTAATAGATGTTGGAACTACCATCCAACTAAATGACATGTCCCATTTAAAGTGGCCTACTTGAATATCTTTATGTTTAGACATTTGAATCTTGAAATTATCTTCATGAATATTTTCTATAACAGGAGTTACAACATGATGTTTGTCTTCAGCTATACGTGAAAGCATTGGCTCTAACCATCCTATAAAATCAGTAATACTTTGGTTACTAAAAAACGAAATCCCCCCAAAAAAAGAGAATTAATTACTGTACAAGAAAAATAACTTCAATTGGAAAACTCTAATAAATTATTAATATCCCAAATGGAGTAAAACAAATCTTAACACAAGACTTCTACATACGAAGAAAAATAAAAAAACAGCCTTTCCAAAATTTAAAAAAAAGGAAATGGGATAGTAAACTTCTACTTTTATTCTGGCATCCTAAAACAAGTCAGCTGGTATAAACAATTGCAGTGCTGCCGCTAGCTGGGTTTTACTGTACTCTGTGAGCGATAGAGAGAGAGAAAGGATAGCCTACTAACTAACCATACTGGAGAAATTTTTGAGATTCGTTTCTGATCACTATTTTCAGGAATTGGCATCCAATCAAAAGTAAGATCCCAAGTAAATCTTCCAACATGCATTTGTTCAGCGTTGAACCAGACATATTGGAGGTTGTCATCCCCAATGTTGTCTATGACAGGAGTAACTACATGATCTTTTCCTTCACTGATTCTATCCAGCAGTGGTTCCAACCAGCCTATATACAAACATGCTTTTCTCCATAAACTATAGCTAATTATGTCAGTATTGTAGTATTACCATTGTATATTATTCTTGAATGAAACTTACTTACCAAAAAAATTAGCTCAGTAAGACCATACATTTAATGTTAATATTTATCTAAGTAATAAGTTATTCCTCTAGAATAAAATCTCTGACTACTACTACTACTTATAATGACTATCATTGAAGCTCCAGTCCTGTCTGTGTGCAGTGTATTAGTAATACTTAGTTCTTAGATATTACAAGGATAAGTAAGTAGTGTTAAACTCATTTTTTCCACACATGAAGATTATAAATTGTGTAATTCTGTAAACACAAATTTTGTCAACTTAAATTAATTTTATACTTACTCTCTGTTAACAGCATGTGTGCATGTTATAAAAGTCTTACCCAAGAAAGAGATGGGTAAACAAACAATCTGAAGATCACTAATGTTAACGTTTGTAGTGACCTAAACTGAATTGAGTGTTGATATCTTCCGAAGACAAAAAGCAAGAGGTCTGATTAGTGTGCAGAGAAATTACATGCCATCTGTATAATTAACTATTCAAGCAAAATAACTTCAACAGTACATGACCACAAATGGAGAATTCAAAAACTAAAGTAGAAAATAAAATACATTATGCTGATTTTAACTATAAGCTTAAAATTGCATGCTATTAAATTATGGTTAAATAGTTATATAAACTAAAAGTTGGACAGAAATATCATATACTGCATCTGTTATTGACATACAACATGACATGTAACCATGTACCTGACAGGGGCATAATCCTTATAATGACGCCTTTCACGTTCGTGTTCTGGGATGGAGTGCCAGTTGAATTGTAAATTCCAATCAAAACCTCCAACACTTGTACTTTTAGCACTGCCATATTGAAATTTGAAGGAAGAATCTTCAATTACATCAATGACAGGACAAACTACTATAGATTTATTTTCTGCTATCCTGTCTAATAAAGGTTCAAGCCAGCCTAAAAAGGACCACCATAATATAATATAAGGATGTCTAAAATAAATGTAAATTGTCCACTTTTAGTTTTCCCAGGAAAGCACAAAGCAGAAATTTAGATTTTTCAATGAAATCAGAGAGCATGCACAAAAATCTGAAAACTTTTTGATGAATTTCTTTAGATGAAAATTTAAAATAATTCAATCATTAAATATTAAATCATTTACCACTTAATATTTCTAATAAAAAAATGCAGGTAATTTAATTCTAGAAATAAGTCAAAGAGTATAAGCAACAAAGAATTGGAAGTCTGTCCCCCAAACAAATATAATAATAAATTACATTTTACTTCTTTTGATTAAATATGGAGGATTATAAGGTTTTCCATTTTTTGTTACATACTTTTATAATAATGTTAGTTGAAGAAGAACATGTTAGAGCTGTTGTTTCATGAACAAAATAAATTAGCACAACTATAAACAAGAAGTTATTCTATAATTTCTGTCATATTTTTAAAGACTTTGCCAATAAAAACAGCAGGAAAAAAAGCATTGTAAAAAACATCTTGTAAATTGCGATTGTTGGGTAACAACGGAAGGAGACTGGGAAACAATCATTACACCAACAATGTCATGTTCATTACCAGGAAAGACAAATTAAACTACCTTCCCCCATAAAAAAATAAACCAAATTCATCTGACCTCTATCACTTACTAACACAAATATTTAATAACTTTGATAAATTCCTATTATAATATGCATGAAACAGATGATGGGTCAGTATTTCCTATACATATTATTGTAAATCATACCTTCAGCACATTCACAATGTGAATCTAGATATGTGAGCACTGTTCCTGTAGAAGCTGAATATCCTAATAAACGAGCTCGTATCAATCCTTCACGTTGTTTAGTGCGTACTACCTTCACTTTCTTAAGTTTTGCTGCATAATCTTCTAAAGGCTTCTTTAAATGATCTGCAAGAAAAAATTATTTGTACTAAACGTGGACAATGTGATGCATGCATGCTGAAAATTATGTAATGAAAATGATCTGCAAGCAATGGCAAACAGGAATTGAATGAAAATTTGATCACATTGTAGGACTGAGTTGGCTAACATTCTGTGCAAAATCTCAATCTGCATGGCATAACTTCAACCTTGCAGAATACAGCATATTGAAAAAATGAAATTCTTCAAGTCATATTTTCCTTTTTGGATCTGTATTGTACAATTCGAAATAGCTAAAATACAATTGATCAACACAGGGACTTTCTATACTAGTATAGAAAGTCCCTGATCAACAACAAGATAAAAATTTATCAATGAAGTTATTTGACAATTTTTCTTCCAGTAAGAACATGAGACTAGTATCCAGCTGTAATATAGATCTATGAAATAGAATGTGTCCATAGGACACAATGTCCTGCTGACACTTTTACATTTCCATGTTCAATGAACCATACACCATGCCCTGCTGACACTTTCACATTTCCATGTTCAATGATCCATGACATCTTGGCCAAAATCCTTATTTGGCATATACAAACATGTGAACTAAGTTTCCAGTTGATTTGACCACAAATTATCTTAAACCAAATGTTTAACCTAACATAAACTGAAACTTTAATCCATCACATTTCCATGTTCAGTGAACCATGAAATCTGGGGCAAAACCCTAATTTGGTATATATATTGCACAGTTCACACAATAATGAACATGTGCACTAAGTTTCAAATAGATGTGACCAAAATCTACCAAAAACCAAAACTTTAACCTGATACAGGACAGACAGACATACAAACCAAAAAACATAGTGCCCCTTTACCTTCATAGGCTGGACATTAAAATAAGAATCTGAATTTAACATTAATTACCCATATCTGAGAAATCATCCACCAAGATGACCTCCTTTAACAAATGTGGCGGAGACCTGTCTATAATACTGTGAACAGTTCTCAAAAGAACACTCCAGGCTTCATTATGGAAGCATACAACAACACTGGTGTCTGGTAAATTATCTCGGTATTTCTGGGTTTTACATCTGAAATATTAAAAAATAAAAAGCATGTTGGATAAAATCAGAATGTACAACCCAATATTATAATTAAATCAAATCTTTGTTTTAAGTCCTTGTAATGTAATGTTTAAGAACCATGTCATCAGTCACCAATTCTGGATAATATAGGGACCAATATAGTTGAAAGACCTTTCTCATCAGTCCTTAGGTCAAAACAATGTAAGGATTATTTATTGAGCTCTTAAGCATGTACAGTTTAAAGACAAGTCTCATTAGTCCATAGGTCTAAACAGTTCACGGACCATGTCTTGAGTACTTAAGTCTGTATTGTTTAATGAATTAGAGATAGCAGTATGATGTTTAAAGATGGACATGCCAATACCTTATAACTAGTTACACATTACACACATTACGCACAGTCTTAGACATGCCAATACCTTATAACTAGTTACACATTACACACATTACACACAGTCTTATAGATATAAGAAGATGTGGTATGAGTGCCAATGAGACAACTCTCCATCCAAGTCAAAATTTATAAAAGTAAACCATTATAGGTCACAGTACGGTCTTCAACACGGAGCCTTGCTTATAACTAGTTACACATTACACACATTACACACAGTCTTAGACAAGTCATGAACGATTCTAAATAGACAACCCAATACCACCAATAAATTTTAATTAAGGTGAGTTTTTATTTTTGTGAAACATCCTGTAGCAATTTTTGCAACAATAAAAACATTGCAAACATTTCTGAATTTACTATACATTGGGCAAAATACCATGAAAATGAGTAACCCTTTCATTTATCACAAACTTCAAGTAGACTTGAATTGAAATAACACCTACTCTTCATCGCGGACATCTGGCAGACTTCTGTGTAATGAGATCATATTACTGGCATATTCATTAAAGGCATTTCTCTGCCATCCATCGTCATACTTCTTCCTTTCCTCTGGACTCAGGCTATCTTTATTTATATCTACTGCTCTCCCTTGTTCTCCTATTCAAAGAAAACAAATTTTCAACATTAACTTACTGTAAATAAAACATTTTAAAAATCTGTGAACTGAATATTTCTTTGAATTTTCCTCAATATATTTGAATGCTGTCCATTACCTTTTGAAACACTCTATTTGTCTTTTGTATTTTTGGGTTAATGTTCCTTGCTTGTAAAAAGTTATTCTGATTGTATTGTTATTTATGATTTGTCTTTTCACTAAGGGTCTAAATGCTCTAAGAAAGAGGCTCAAGTGGTGAGGAGTGTAAAAACTGAATTACCTTAATAGATGTCTAAGAAATCATGTTTTGTAGTGTCCTTATTTAGTAGGCAAAGAAATAGAGTTCATAGCAATAGAACAACCAATGTTTTATATTAAGTCTTATTCCATTGGTGAGTGTCATGGCAACCAAAACATTTATACATGTTTAAACCCATTTCATCACATCACAAGTGAGAATTCCAACAAAGGTGAAATAGTTCATGGAATATTTTATCTTGGCATATTCCTAGTGCATTGTATCGAAATTATAAGTATAACAGTTTGTTAATGTATAAAAACTCTACCTTAAAGAGAAACTTATGGCTTAAAACCTTTCTTTGCTTATCTAATCTTTATATTCATTGTAAGTTTTAAATTAAAACTAGACACAGATGGATTCATGACAAAATTGGGTTTTGGTGATGGTGATGTGTTTGTAGATCTTACTTTACTGAACATTCTTGCTCCTTACTATTATCTCTATCTATAATGAACTTGGCCCAGTAGTTACAGTGGAAAATATTTTGTAAAAATTTACAAAAATTTACAAAATTTATGAAAATTGTAAAAAATTTACTATAAAGGGCAATAACTCCTTAAGGGGTCAATTGACAATTTTGGTCATGTTGACTTATTTGTAGATCTTACTTTGCTCTACATTATTGCTGTTTACAGTTTATCTCTATCTATAATAATATTCAAGATAATAACCAAAAGCTGCAAAATTTTCTTAAAATTACCAATTCAGGGGCAGCAACCCAACAACGTGTTGCCTGATTGGTCTGAAAATTTCAGGGCAGATAGATCTTGACCTAATGAATATTTTTATCCCGTCAGATTTGCTCTAAATGCTTTGGTTTCAGAGATATGAGCCAAAAACTGCATTTTACCCTATGTACTATTTTTTAGCCATGTCGGCCATCTTGGTTCGCGGGCAGGGTCATCGGACACATTTTTTAAACGAGATACCCCAATGATGATTGTGGCCAAGTTTGGTCAAATTTGGCCAAGTAGTTTCAGAGGAGAAGATTTTTGTAAAAGTTTACGGACGATGGACGCAGGACGACGGACGCCAAGTGATGAGAAAAAAGCTCACTTGGCCCTTTGGGCCAGGTGAGCTAAAAAGGTAAACTAGATATGGCCAATGCCCCCCCCCCCCCCCCCCCCTTTTCTGCTCTGCCATATGCATGAATATAGTTCCACATATTTTAGATTTGTCAAACAGTGATGTTGCCATACAACTTGAAATTGTTAAGCTGTCTGTAAGATACAAATGATGCCCCCGCCTGACCATAGAAAATTATAAGTTTAACACTATGTATGATGATGTAACTGTAGGAGGAGATAGCCGGACAAACCATGATCTCTTTATGCAGCTAGTACCAAAAAAATGACTAAGTCCAACTACCTGTCATTTTCAGAATATTTGAAAAAAATCAAATTCCTGTGGCCATGCACACCTTCATTATGTGTATGAACATCCTACAAAATATTAAAGTTTTACCTCCAAAACTGTAAGAGGAGATAGCTCGACAAGCAATGTATCCAAACCTGATGGACGGACGAACGGACGGACAGATGGACGGACAGGGGCAAATTAATATGCCCCCCGACATTTTGTCGCAGGGGCATAAAAATATTCCCACAGACAAAGATGTGCAAATTTAACATGTTTAAATATCTGAAAGTGGACCTTTATGCATCTTTCAAAATTGGTTTTTTCCTATACATTTTTCAATAAATGTTTTTCCAACATTTTTACAATTTACAATTCATGAATGATTAAATTTGAACATCACTACTTAATGACAAAAGTATTGGCCAGTTCAACACTGCTGACTAAATCAATACAAAACATATATTTTATGAACAATTAAATGGCTTTAATCAATGTCATGTTTTATGATGCAATATTGAACAGCTATAAACAACATGAGGTTTCCTTAATGAGAAAATAACATGGGATAGACGAACTGCAGATATCCAAATTCCTTTGAAAAATTCTGTGTTATTAATTTAAAAAACAAATAGACATGGAATTGTGATGGACAGATGGGCAAAGAAACATAATAGTGCTTTTGACACTACAACAATTTAGGCACAATGTTATTTTCTCCCATTTATTTCTCATGTTTTATGTTCTGTTATTTCCTCCCTTGTATTTCTCATGTTTATGAACAATGTTATTTCTACCTTGCATTGCTCATGTTTTATGTTCTGCGATTTACTCTCTTGTATTTCTCATGTTTAATGTTCTGATCTTCCTTCCTTAAATTTCTCATGTTATTTGCACACTGGTATTAACTCCCTTATATTTCTCATGTTTTATGTTCTGTTATTTCCACCTTTGTCTTTCTCATGCTTTATGCTCTGTTATTATTTCCCTAGAATTTCTCATGTTTTATATACAATGTTATTTCCTCCCTTGTATTTCTCATGTTTTATGTTTTCTTTTACTTTCTCCCTAGTATTTTTCATGTTTTATGTTCTGTGTTACAACCTCCCTGGTATTTCTCATGTTTTATGTTCTATATCATTTTCTCTTTTGAATTTCTATACAATGTTATTTCCTCTCCCTACATTTTTCATGTTTTATGTTTTATGTTACTTTCTCCCTGGTATTGCTCATGTTTTATGTTCTATGTTACTTCCTTCCTGGTATTTCTCATGTAATGTTCTACTGTGAAAGTACTTTAATTCGAGGGTATCAATTTTCGTGGTTTGAACAAAAATTACATGTTCGTGGGTTCTTAAATTCGTGGATTCTAGTTTTCTGAAGAAAAAAAGATTTTGGAAAGTAATCATCTTCTTATATCTATATATTTTGTTTAATAAAGATTTATAGGATATTGCAAATAATGTGTCCATTTTCACTTACTTGTTTGTCTTTCATTACTGCCAAACATTCATAAATTTTTAAATTAAATAATTTCGGAAATAAGTTTAGTCATCTATGCTTATAAATTTTCTTGATTGAAGGAAATTGCAATACATTTTGATTGTTGCACACGTATCATCGTAAGTGATGACACTAATTAACCCGAGACTAAATGATCAACAGATTAACAAACATCAAGGGTGTTAATTGGGCCATAAACATGTCACTTAAAAAAAACGGTAACATAAAAAATGCTACAAATGCATTTCGAATTGTAGAATTAATTCTTATGAAATAAATGGGGAATGTGTCCATGGGACACAATGATGCCCCCGCTTGCATATCATATAAAGTTATAACGGGACATAAATGAAGAACGGTAAAAGTGACGCTACCAAAATTTGTACTTGATCTGAGTTTTGTGGTAATTAGTATTGTGTATAAGTTTCATAAAATTTGGCTGAGGCAAACTTAAGTTAGAGAACAGAAAGGAAAAATTCAGCAATTTTTCCATTTGTAAAGGGGCATAACTCTAGAATGGTTAAAGTGACACCACCAAAATTCAAACTGGATCTGTATTTTGTGGTAATAAGCATTGTGTATAAAGTTTCATAACATTCGGTTGAGGCAAACTAAAGTTAGAGAACGGAAATGAAACTTTCAGCAATTTTTCCATTTGTAAAGGGACATAACTCTAGAACGGTTAAAGTGACGCCACCAAATTCAAATTCGATCTGTGTTTTGTGGTAATAAGCATTGTGTATAAGTTTCATAACATTTGGTTGAGGCTAACTTAAGTTAGAGAACGGAAACGACGGGGGCATAACAAAAAAGCAAGCCCAATATGATATATTTTGTATGACAATTATGAGGAGATAAAATGAACACGTCAACATCGTAAATCATCACCGGAAGTCTGACTTTATTGGATCAAAACTAATTTTTCATGAGAATTAAAAGGTTAAAAGTTGTACGGTTTAGGTTTTTAAAAGATTAAATGAGTAAAATCTTGTATGTCTCAAGTTTTATATTCTATATCATTCCCTCACTTGTAATCTCATTTTTTATGTTCCATGTTTTTTCCTTTCCTGTTTTTCCCATGTTTTATGTTTATGTTATTTCCCCCCATTGTCTTTCTCATGTTTTTATGTTTTTTGTTTCTTTCTCTCTTGCATTTTCAAGTTTTATGTTTTATGTTTTTCACTCCCTTGTAATCTCATGTGTTATGTTATTTCTGCCCTTGTATTGCTCATGTTTCATGATCTATGTTATTTTCTCTCTTGCATATCACAAGTTTTATGTTCTATTTTATTCCCTCCCTTGTATGTCTCAAGTTTTATAATCTATGTTCTATGTTATTCCCTTGCTTGTAATCTCATGTTTTACATGTTTTATGTTCTGTGTGATTTCCACTCTTGTTTTTCTCATGTTTTATGTTCTATGTTGTTCCCTCTCTTGTATGTCTTTTGTTTTATGTTATTTCCTCTCATGTGTTTCTCATGTTTCATGTTCTATGTGATCTTATCTTTTAAGAATTAACAAATAATTTAATTCTAATGAGAATCTATCCCATAGTAACATTATATTGGAAGACCATCTATCTTTCTCAACTATCTTATGAGTTTCTACCCCTTAAAAACAGATACAAGAGATTCTATCTCCATTACTAAATGAAATAATACCCCAAATCTCCAAACAAGAGATTATGAAATATATATTTGAACTAATAAATTTCAGTTCAGTTTCCTCACTCTCTCACAAGATTCCATCTTATAATATTAATCATTTTATAATCTTAAGAGGTTAAACTCTTAGTATCTTTTTCTTAAATCTCATAACTGTCACAATAAATTGTGTTCCATTTATCCAGTTTAATGAGATTCTACCCCATACAACCAAAGTCTCATGATTTTGTACTCCATAGCTCTACATTCTCATGACATTCCATTCCAGTTCACTACTCTCATAATAATCTATTTCATGTTTCAACAATCTCATGATATTCTACTTCATATCTCAATAGTCTCATAATATTCCTCCATATCTTTAGTCTCATAATATTCTACTCCATATCTCTCCGCTCATGAGCATCTTTTTACATATCTCAACAGTTTCATGGTATTCTATTCCATATATTTAGCAGTCTCATGATATAGTATTCCATATCTCTTCAGTCTCTATGTATTCTATTCTATATCTATTACAGTCTCATAATATTCTACTCATAACATCAAGTCGCAAGGTATTATACTCCATACCTCTACAGTCTCATGTATTCTACTCCATTTCTCTCCAGTCTCTAGGCATTCTATTCAATATCTCAGCAGCCTCATGATATTCCTCCATATCTTTAGTCTCATGATATTTTACTCCGTATCTCGACAGTCTTATAATATATTATTCCATATCTCTAGTCTCATTATATTGTACTCTATATCTCTACATTCTCATGACATTCTATTCCAGTTCACTACTTTCATTTTAATCTATTTCATGTCTCAACAGTCTCATGATATTCTACTCCATATCTCTACAATCTCATGAGAATCTACTCCATATCTCTACAGTATCATGATATTTTATTCCATATCTCTACAGTATCATATTTTATTCCATATCTCTACATCTCATTATATTCTACTTTATAACAATACAAATTACAGTCTCATGACATTTACTCCACATCTCTGCAGTCTCTTGACATTTACTCCATACCACTACAGTATTATGATATTTAATTCCATATCACAAAAGTCTCATGAGATTCTATTCCATATCTCTAGTCTCTTGGTATTCTATTCAATATCTCTATAGTCTCATGATATCTTATTCCATATCTCTACAGTCTCATGGTATTCTACTCCATATCTCAAGTTTCATTATAATGTACTCAATATCTCAACATTTCATGACATTCTATTTCATATTACTACTCTTATAATATCTATTTCATATCTCAAGTCAAATGAGATTCTACTCTATATCATTACTGTCTCATGATATTCTATGTCAAATCTGAAAATTCTAATGAAATTCTATGCCCATCTTTACAGTTTTATAATATTCTACTTGATATCTATACCATCTCATAATATTCTATTCCATATCTTTACAGTTTCATAATATTCTACTCAACATCTCTATACAGTTTTTTTTCAAATCACTCATCGCTTAAAGATTCTAATCCATATATCTTCAGTCTCAATATATTCTACTCCACATCTCTGTACAATCTAAAGATATTCTATTTCATAGCACTAATTACTTGAGATTCTATTCCATATCTCTAAAGTCTCATGATATTCTATTCAATATATCAAGTATCATCAAATTCTGTTTCATATTTCTGTAGTCTCATGATATTTAAGCGTTTATCTCTACAGTCTCTTGATATTCCATCCATTAATAATCTCATGATATTCTTTTTAATATCTCTATAATCTCATGATATTGTACTCTATATATCAAGTCTCATGAGGTTCAATTTCATAAATCTGTAGTCTCATGATATTCTATTCCATCTCTACAGTTTCTGATATTGTATTCCGAACTAAACCCTTATCATCCATGTATCCATTTATCCGTAGCGAAATAAGGGTCCATAGTCTCATAAGAACTAAAAGAACTTGTAATTAAAGCTTAGTTTTATTTATCATTTTTAGGCAATTCTAAACCATGAACAGAAGTGGCATCCATTCATGGAGTAGTTAGACAACTTTTTTGTTTTTGTTTTAGTCAGTTTAACAAAAGTTGTTTTTTTAACTATATTCATGTACTTTTTAACTACAATTTCTAATTACTATAATCTTAATAAAATCTTAAAAACAAATCAGAACTTAATAAAAATATGACATTTAAACTCCAATACAACTACAATTACTTGTATTGATTAATTTCTTTTGTGAGAATAAAAGGGTATCTTTCATTTATGATCAAATAATTGAATCTGTATAATAACAAGATAGTATAAAAGACATGCACTTTGAAGTGATGTTATTGGTAAATCCTGTTGATTAAAAGCCTGGATAACTACCCTATTGATGTTACATTTTTCACTTTATAGATCACCTTCTACCTGGCAATACACATTACCTATTGATTGTGATATCAAGTATAAAAGCCTTTTTCCTTTCCTCAGACTGCTCTTTTTCTTGAACTTTGATATTTCTTTTTTGTATTTTTCCTATTCTTCTGTTACATTTTATGATAACAAAAATGTAGCATATGGCATATCTGGTAAATGAAATTAATTTCATAAAGACAATTCATCTTGAATATCCAAATCAATAAACTGTATTCAACTATGACAGTATACCTGTCAGAATAGATGAAATCATTGACCGAAACCATTTTTTTTTATATATAAAAATAAAACTTCTGTATCATACATGTATGTAGTAATACAGGTAAAATGTCAATAGATGGTCCTTGTACAGAACTAATGCCAATGGAAGAGTATGCTGCTCAACACAAACTTATCATCAAGAAACCAATTGTTTAGGATGGGAAGATTGACAGACAAATAAACAGATAAACGTTAAGATGGATAGATTTGAGGTTTACAATATGCTCCACTGGGAGGGCAGTTATAAGTTAAATGGAATGATATTATTATAAAAATGATATCAACGACTATTGCTATCTTATTAGGAAGAATCATTCCATGTAAGTTATATAAAACCGTACACTTTAAAAAACTTAAGAACTATTTGAAATCATCAGTATGAATCAATAAAACTACCCAAAGCATTAGAATCTTAGGACGACTCAATAAAACTACCCAAAGCATTAGAATCTTAGGACGACTCAATAAAACTAACCAAAGCATTAGAATCTTAACCTACCTTTAAATCAAGGAATCATCTTGTATTGATTGATTAAGCAATATAAAAAGATCCTGCAGCAAATATTTCATACAAATTCTAAATATAAAAAATATATGAATCCTATTAAACTTGCTCTAAAATGGGGAGGAACGTGACACAAACTGGTAGTAATGGTTGATTGATACTGAAAAGGTAATACAAGTTAAAATAAATGGAGAATGTGTCCCCATGGACACAGATGATGCCCCCGCTTGCATACATTATAAAGGGACATAACTCAAGAACAATAAAAGTGACGCTACCCAAATTTGTACTTGATCTTAGTTTTGTGGTAATAAGTATTGTGTATAGGTTTCATGTTTGGTTGGGGCAAACTTAAGTTACAGAACAGAAACTAAAAATTTTGCAATTTTTCGATTTATAAAGGGACATAACTCAATAATGGTTAAAGCGACACTACCCAAATTCAACTTGATCTGTGTTTTATAGGTGGAAGGCAAAATTAAACATTGCATTGTATAAAGCATTGATTGTAGTTGATTCAACTATAATTATGGACAAAGGAAAAGAACTCCAATTTTAAAAATTACTTGAACAATGACATCATTGATATTTTTAGAAAAAAAATTAAAAATTTAGCAAAAATTTAGCAATTTTTCCATTTGTAAAGGGTCATAACTCTAGAACAGTAAAAGTGACGCCACCAAAATTCAAACTTGATCTGTGTATTGTGGTAGTAAGCATTGTGTATAAGTTTGATAACATTTGGTTGAGGCAAACTCAAGTTAGAAAACGGAAACTAATTTTGGGACGTACAGACGTACGGACGTACGTACAAACAGACGGACAAAGGTAAAACTTAATGCCCCCTCTGCTTCAGCGGGGGCATAAAAAAGGGTGGTAGATTAAGTTGACTTTTGAAACCTCTTTGTGTAGCTGATTAAATTAGTATAAAAAAGGTTCCACTCTTAAGAATTGGAACAATATTTAGAGACCTTATATGATTACCAACCTGGAGCATTTGGATCAACTTTGATTTTCTCTACTTTTTCTCCTGACTGAAATTTCAAAACTGGATTATGTTTAATTTCTTCCACTTTTTGTCTTTCCATTAATTCAATATTTCTTTTTTCTCTCTCTTCTCTTTCTCTAATTAATTTTTCTTCCTCCATTTTCCTTGCAAGTCTTTGATGCTCCTCTTGGTGAATGTTCCGATCATGACCTCTAAAATCATCATGTCGGTTCACAGGCACATGCTGAGCATTTATGCCTGGTTCAATGTTCCGTTTCTCTGTGTCAACACGACTGTCTTGAGACCAAGATCCCTGATATGTCATAAGCAACACTGTAGCAAACCATAATATTGGTACACCTATCACAAATTTGAATATAAGTCCTTTCTTTCGACGGAAGAAACTCGCCATTGTCTTAATTTAGCACCTTGGAATGAAAAACGTTGTGGTTATTATAATGTCATGATGCTGGTAAAACTGAAAGTAGAAATAAGAAATTTTCAAATTATAACAACTTACATAAAGATAAAAATGGAGAATGTGTCCCCATGGACACAGATGATGCCCCCGCTTGCATACAACATTACAAAGGGACATAACTCAAGAACGATAAAAGTGACGCTACCCAAATTTGTACTTGATCTGAGTTTTAAGGTAATAAGTATTGTGTATAGCTTTCATAATGTTTGGTTGGGGCAAACTTAAGTTACAGAATTAAAAATTTTGCAATTTTTCGATTTATAAAGGGCATAACTCGATAATGATTAAAGTGACGCTACCAAATTTCAACTTGATCTGTGTTTTGTGGTAAAAAGCATTGTGTATAAGTTTCATAACATTTGGTTGAGGCAACTTAAGTTAGAGAAAAGAAACTAAAAATTATGCATTTTTTTCCATTTATAAAGGGGCATAACTCGAGAATGGTTAAAGTGACCCCACCAAAATTCAAATTTGATCTTTATTTTGTGGTAATAAGCATTTTGTATATGTTTCATAAAATTTGGTTGAAGCAAACTTAAGTTAGAAGCGGAAACGAAAATTTTTGCAATTTTTCCATTTATGAAGGGCATAACTCTAGAACGGTTAGAGTGTTGCTACCAAAATTCAATCTTGATCTGTATTTGGTGGTAATAAGCATTGTGTATAAGTTTCATAACATTTGGTTGAGGCAAACTTAAGTTAGAGAACAGAAACCAAAAATTTTGCAATTTTTCCATTTATAAAGGGGCATAACTCTAGAACAGTTAGAGTGAAGCTACCAAAATTCAATCAATCTTGATCTGTGTTTTGTGGTAATAGGCATTGTGTATAAGTTTATAACATTTGGTTGAGGCAAACTTAAGTTAGAGAACGGAAATTAAAAATTCAGCATAACTCTAGAACGGTTAAAGTGACGCCACCAAAATTCAAACTTGATCTGTGTTTTGTGGTAATAATCATTGTGTATAAGTTTTATAACATTTGGTTGAGGCAAACTTAAGTTAGAGAACGGAAACTAAAAAATTTGTAATTTTTCCATTTATAAAGGGCATAACTCTAGAATGGTTAAAGTGACGCCACCAAAATTCAAATTTGATCTGTGTTTTGTGGTAATTAGCATTGTGTATAAGTTTTATAACATTTGGTTGAGGCAAACTCAAGTTAGAGAACGGAAACCAATTTTGGGACGTACAGACGTCTGTACGTATGTCAGACAGACAAGGGTAAAACTTAATGCCCCCTCCGCTACGGCAGGGGCATTAAAAAAAATTATGAAAAAGGAGTCTACCCTTTGGTGGATAGTTGTCACATTGGCAATCATACCAAAAGTCTTTGCATTGGAATTCTTACATAAAACATTAAAGTATTCATATAAACTCAGCAATTAGGGATTTCCTCAGAATTTCTTTTCAGTAGTGATATCATGTGTAAGCAAACTGACATCGTAACATGTTATTTGGGTCACATTATTTCAATGGAATTATGTTTGTTTTCCAAACTGATTTGGAGTAATGGAGAAGACTATTGTTGGTTTATAATTTTCATGTGAAAGCTAACAATATACATTTTTTTCAATTTTATATATTATAGGGAAATATATATTAGGAAGGATCACTTGGTCTTTTATACACAATGAAAACAAGTCTAAAAAGGAGAGGGGAAAGATACCAAAGGGACATTCAAACTCATAAGTTGAAAATATACTGACAACACCATGGCTAAAAAAGAAAAAGACAAACAATAGTACACAAACCACAACAAAGAAAACTAAAGATTGAGCAACATGAAACCCACCAAAAACTGGGGGTGATCTCAGGTGCTCCAGAAGGGTAACCAGATCCTGCTCCACATGTGGCACCCGTTGTGTTATTCATGTTAGTACAAACCCAGTAATAAGTCTAATTTGGGGACAGGATTGCAGTTACGACATTTGGAACATATCCGCTATCATCTGTGAAAAGGATATCCCATAATAGTCATAAAATACCAAATAAGAATATAATAACACTTGGTATCCTGATCCGAAATCTGCAGAGGAATAACAATCCCGAGGAGCAAGTAATGAAAAGTTTGTAACAATGGGTAGGTTAATTCTGGATCTGATTTCCAGGGAGTATAATTCCTCTGTGGGAAATGGATCCAGATTTTACTCCGCAATTTCAGATTGGGATACCCTGTGTGATATTGCCTTGATGGAAGCTAATAACAAGGTCTGATTGGGATACCCTGTGTGATATTGCCTTGATGGAAGCTAATAGCAAGGTCTGATTGGGATACCCTGTGTGATATTGCCTTGATGGAAGCTAATAGCAAGGTCTGATTGGGATACCCTGTGTGATATTGCCTTGATGGAAGCTAATAGCAATTTCAGATTGGGATACCCTGTGTGATATTGCCTTGATGGAAGCTAATAGCAAGGTCTGATTCATACCAATACAAATATTTATGTTCACCATATAAATTTTATAATAAAATGTTTATTTTGCAGTTATAGTATATCATCTTTTATACAAAAACTTCAATTTATCATTTATTAAGAATATAATGTACAATGTAAGTAAGTAAAACTGTTGTTGACATATTTATAGAAGACCAGGATAAAATAATAGAATGTAAATGCCCAACATACGGTTACATGAAAACAAATATATGGCTGCCATGAATTATTTCTTAATTAAAAAGAAATTCCTTGGAAACCTTAAAATTAGATAGCGACTCAAATCAAAATAAAACAATAGAATCATAAAGGAACAATAAACTGGTTAGGTAAACACATGTTGTATTATATAAAAAATAAAGGATGGCCAATAAATACTGAAAACACTCCAAGTTTTAATTCCTTTAAATGCAGGAAGAAATCTTAAATCTATTATAACAAAATCCCATGACAACTATATGATTTACAGATTTAATAACATCGTCTGGAACATTTTCTACATATTTATGATTATTTTATTCCCATTAGAATAACTTTAAGACATCAATCTGTTTAAAGATCATTTTTATGGCTATTATTACATATACAAATAAAGTAGCAACAGCTGACAACTAAGTCCTCATTATTGACAGTTTTAAGGTTATACAATGTTTTGACCAAAAAAACTTGGGTCAAAGAAAAATTTGATAGTGACAAAGTAGCTTTAATATTAAGGTGCCAATATTAATAGAGGGAGGTGGCTCTTGATTAATACAAACCCATACTAATCAGTACTGTATAGTTCACCACTGTTTAAAATTAAGGTGACAATATGTGATCAGAGGGAGATGGTCATTGGTTAATATATACCCAAACAAATACCGGGGTAACTTTCTAATGTATTTATAGAATTTGCTGTAAGATGTACACTTTGTTCATTTTTTTTTATTACTGTGACTGGACTGTTAGTGCTGCTCTCCATCTATAACAGTTTATTCAAAATTCTGACACAATTGTAATTTGTTGCATCGAGTGAACCAACACCTTCTAACGGTACAGGCTGATAGAGAGTAATCAGGATGGATACCCGGAGGTATGCTGCGGTTGTCTTAAAACCTCAGGAAAATAATGCTACACAAAGACAACAACATCGTAGATTACTGCAAGGAAAATCTTTATTATGGTCTACATGTTTCGCCACTTACGGTGGCGTCTTCAGGACAATTTAAACATAGAAAACAAATACTGAAGTACATAAAATGCGGTGCATATGGGGTTACAAAGGTTAACAAGACGTAACGTCACAATAATTAATTTGACAACGTTAAAATGAAAGTGAAAGTAAAAGTGAACCGCAGAACCGCACAATTATTGTTGAAATAAACTTGCAACATGGAGAGTGTACCACAACCGCAAAATGTAACCAATTCACCACAACTTCCACCATGCCCTACATGTGCGACTACCATACATCTTACAACATTCCCGACGCAATTGGAAGTAGTACCTCTTTCCGAGTGAAGCCTTTTGGAATGGTACGGAATGTCCTGTGAGGTGTTGTCCATTTTGGAAAAGACACTGACAATTCATTATTAACTTTTACTTTCACTTTCATTTTAACGTTGTCAAATTAATTATTGTGACGTTACGTCTTGTTAACCTTTGTAACCCCATAAGGTAACTCTTAAGTGCACTTGTCAGATATCACGGTCAAAGTTCTTTTTTTTTTTTTTTTCGTATTACAGCATCATACTTTGTATAAGGAATCTTTATTTGGCTAAGCTTTACACTGTGGTATGCAACATGTTTAAAGAACACATTGCTCATAAATTTCTACTTGCTCACTTCCTTCAGAGGAAATGGATAACATTTTAATTTCTTCTCTGAACACTATGTACAAATCAACATGTCTTGATATTTGATACTAAGCTAAATCTGTTTAAGTTATACCATTACTTTTGACCAAAAAAAAAATTGAATAAATACATAGAAAGTGGCATAATAACAATCCCATCAGCCATTTAACAAATAATCTCACATAGGAAATATATGATTTAATGTATGAATCAACTCAGATCTTAAGATTCTTTTTCAATCTAATGTTGACAGTCTGGTCTGATGATCTTCCAGTATGTACCTCTAGTTATAATTGACAGTCATTTACATGCACTTTATTCTATGATTTATTGGCTCAAATAGAAGTAATCAAAGTCTGGCATCAAATTAAAGGAGATGCTTATTATGTATTGAAAAAAAATCTCAAAACTCATTCTGGCAAAATGAATTTATAGCTGGAAGACATCTTTCAAAATGTTTAAACAGGGGACCAGAAATCATAAAATAGAATCATTTTATTCATTAATTACGAAGAGTATTCTCCAGTTTCAGTGTAAGTGGAAAGACATGCATGGGTCACAGTCAAATGCCTTTTTAGTTGTTCTTATGATACCATAAAGGAAAGCAATGCTCTATTAAACAAAAAGTATTGGCCATACATTTCATAAAGCTTCATCAGAGCTCTAAAATTCTAAAAACCAAAATCTCCAGTTAAAAACATACATAGGCAAAGATTTCTAACTTT